ATATGGTACCCCAATTAATAATATTATTAATGGTAATTAGTAAACAAAGGTAGGCCTAATCGATACGCCTGGAATAATTTCACTATTTAACCCTTTATTTACGGAATTAGGTTCCGAATGACATTTTTTCTTAAACAATGTGATATCATATTGCTTTTGGCACATTTAAAGCATATGTCGAAGGAAATTTTGATTCATAAATTTTTAAGGGCCCAAACATATATTGGTACTTATAAGTACCGTCAGGAATGTAGGACATTTTTTCCAAAAATTAAAAAAAATACAAAACAGGAAAAAACTAAACAACTTATCAACTAATAAAATGGCAATCATTATAACAATCATTTTTTGTTATTTTCACACATAAACCCAGCACAAAAGTATATTTTTACTGGATTTTCTATCGGAACATATCTTAGACCTCAAACACAGCAAAAGGTGCAGACATGTCATGCTCCCTCATTCCTTATTCCTGATACATTCTGGTCTGTCGTCTTTTTGGTGTGGCAACAGTTGCCGGACTGAACCTGCTTTTGCTGGAGGCTTCCAATAGCCATTACAATGAGCCGCATAAACAAATATTTTGAAAACGAAATCGTAGTCATTCAGTACACTACTAGTAATACTAGTATAATTGTAGCCTACTAAAATGTTATGTCAAGTCTACACTACAGTGTAAAGTTCATAAATAGAAGTGAGCTCAATGTGTTTGGATTAGCCGTAGTGGTCTACTGTTTTGAGTTTACTGATTCAAAATTACAAAACGATCTATACTACATGTAGATGTATGGACTATTACTAGTCTACATGTATACATTACGTACATGCTAGCTATTGTAGGCAAGACAGTTTTTGCAACAAATATAACTTACAAATCTTACTTCTAGAACTAGACTTTGGTATACAAATAACGTATACTAAACCTAGTAAACGAGCCTGCAACTGCCACCTCTATTCTTGTTTTTCTTTTACTACTAGAACTCTGCAATTAATCACAACATTTCTGAGGAAAACCCTATGCTTACCTTCTTATAAATGCATAAATATATATTTTTTAAATACATTTCGATAATTAATTATGAAATAATATTTATGTCACTCCAAATCGAAAATCTGCAATTTCCAAGAAATCCTAAAAAAATGTCCATGTGCCCTGACGGTACTTATAAGTCCACTTGTAAACATCGATCTATTACTAAGACAATTTGATAAAAATTGTAAAACTAGAAGCTAAATACATTGACTTGACTATTAAGGATGCCAATAAAAAATATTCGGTGTTGAAAACTTGAAGAATAAGGTAAAACAAAGGGAAATCAGGAACACATGTGAGATATGTACAGAACGATTGTAAACTACCGTTACAGGTAGAGATTGAAGGTGGCGCCACACCAGAAATTTTCAAAAAACATCGATCCCTCCACCTATCTGTGACTCAAGGGAGATCATACTGTCAATTACATTAATAATTTTTAAAATTCGTCTTAAATTAAAAATAGTACAGGCGCTTAATTAAAGTGGTACTTATAAGTACCGTCAGTAGATAAAGGGTTAATTTGACGAATGTAAAAAGAATACTTGATTGACTGAAGATTGCACTATCAAGTTAAAGGCTAAAATGGTGGCAAAACGGCTTCGATCTGCCTTGAAATCGCATTTTTATTGTGAAGTATGGCGCTAGGTTAAATAACATTTGACGTCACATTTTTATCGGTGGGTAGGTTTTGTGAAAAAAGGTGACGTCGTTCGATCTATGTTGAAGGGAGGTAACTTTCTAAAGTAATTATTTAAAATCAAATATTTTTATTACTAAATGTAGCATTCGTTTGAGTAAGAATTTCAATACACAATAAATATGTATCCCAATACAATTGTAGAAATGAACTTTAAAATTAATGTAATATAATTTATTTTTTTTAATCAAGGGAGCCTCTGTAGTCATAATTACATTGCGACGATAAGTTAGCGAATATTTTGCTTCGTTTCTTTAAACTGGCATTGCTGCTTAAAGTTATTCTTTAGCATTCTACATAACATCTAATCATAAAAATAACCATTCGAATGCTTAGGTCTAATTTAAATTAAACTTGGACATATAAATAAACCATTTTTAGCGAATTAAAGTGGATATCGGAGGAAAATAGGCTTACTACATTACTATTTTAAATCTGTATCAGTCTTCACAAGCCGGTGATGAAGTCTGTAATGCTAGAGCGAATAAGTAGGCTATGCAAATTGACGATGTCTGATACATTTTATCATAAATTAACTAAACAAAATAAAAATAAAATATAATCAATCAAAATGACCAAGCTTAATGGTACGTTCAAAATATTGAGTAGACATCGTAAAAATTTCATAGGAACTTATTTTATAAGTTTGCATCAATGTATTATTCACTTAATCGGTTTAAATCACGTAGATGAGATATAAACGGTCTATTGGGCAGGTGACGCTTAGTTTATGTTTCCGTAGCCTTGGCTAGTGGAGATATAGTGTGATAAGTTCCGCGCCCTAGGATCTCGACGAGATATTTTTGTTATATCCGTTAAGTAAAGAAGAAGGAAATATCTTGGTTATTAACGATTCAAATATTAATTTTACGTTTAAAATGTTGGTATTAAATTAGCAATGGTGCAAAGTTTAGTACTAGTTTAATTATTACATAGCCTATTTAAAGGGTAGGATTTTAAGCATATCTTTTTTTTTTATAAACTTAAGCGAAGCTAGGCAGCATGCTTAGTATATTTATAATTTTAAAAAGTATATTATTAACCAAAGCTGATGTGTTAATGAATTTTGAAATTAAATTAGTTATTATTTTTCACTCCTTGATAGAAACTGTTCAGACTCGAATAACTTTACATTTCATCCAATAATGCTCCATCGGAAGTGACCGATGCGTTCCGACTTTTTATTATGAGTTCTTAAAGTGTAAAGGTCAGGCACCTCAAACTCCCCGAAGCACGGCACCGTTGTTACAGTGACATTCATGTATATTTGATTAGGCCTCCTGCCCTCGCTACCTGTGAGCTAACACTCAGTACGCCAGCATCTGGTGGGGCTCTTATTAAATGACTCATTCACAATTCAAACGAGCACACCAAATCGTGCTTCCACTTACTAGAATTACTAAAAAGCTTCGTACTGTGTTCATATTAAAGTAAGCTAGAAAATAATACTGTACGTTGAGTACACAATCTGTGGGTAGACCGGACAGCACATATGGCTGTAGGGTAGACTGGACAGCCCATATGGCTGTAGAGTAGACTGGACAGCCCATATGGCTGTAGGGTAGACTGGACAGCCCATATGGCTGTAGAGTAGACTGGACAGCCCATATGGCTGAAGGGTAGACTGGACAGTTCTTATGGCTGTAGGGTAAACTGGACAGCCCATATGGCTGTAGGGTAGACTCGACATCCCATATGGCTGTAGGGTAGACTGGACAGCCTATATAGCTGTAGGGTAGAATGGACAGCCCATATGGCTGAAGGGTAGACTGGACAGTTCTTATGGCTGTAGGGTAAACTGGACAGCCTATATAGCTGAAGGGTAGACTGGACAGTTCTTATGGCTGTAGGGTAAACTGGACAGCCTATATAGCTGTAGGGTAGACTGGACAGCCCATATGGCTGTAGAGTAGACTGGACAGCCCATATGGCTGTAGGGTAGACTGGACAGTTCTTATGGCTGTAGGGTAGACTGGACAGTTCTTATGGCTGTAGGGTAGACTGGACAGTTCTTATGGCTGTAGGGTAGACTGGACAGTTCTTATGGCTGTAGGGTAGACTGGACAGTTCTTATGGCTGTAGGGTAGACTGGACAGTTCTTATGGCTGTAGGGTAGACTGGACAGTTCTTATGGCTGTAGGGTAGACTGGACAGTTCTTATGGCTGTAGGGTAAACTGGACAGCCCATATGGCTGTAGAGTAGACTGGACAATTCTTATGGCTGTAGGGTAAACTGGACAGCCTATATAGCTGTAGGGTAGAATGGACAGTCCATATGGCTGAAGGGTAGACTGGACAGTTCTTATGGCTGTAGGGTAAACTGGACAGCCTATATAGCTGTAGGGTAGACTGGACAGTTCTTATGGCTGTAGGGTAAACTGGACAGCCCATATGGCTGTAGGGTAGACTGGACAGTTCTTATGGCTGTAGGGTAAACTGGACAGCCCATATGGCTGTAGGGTAGACTGGACAGTTCTTATGGCTGTAGGGTAAACTGGACAGCCCATATGGCTGTAGGGTAGACTGGACAGCCCATATGGCTGTAGGGTAGACTGGACAGCCCATATTGCTGTAGGGTAGACTGGACAGCCCATATGGCTGTAGGGTAGACTGGACAGCCCATATGGCTGTAGGGTAGACTCGACAGTTCTTATGGCTGTAGGGTAGACTTGACAGTTATCATGGCTGTAGGGTAAACTGGACAGCCTATATAGCTGTAGGGTAGAATGGACAGTCCATATGGCTGTAGGGTAGACTGGACAGTTCGTATGGCTGTAGGGTAAACTGGACAGCCCATATGGCTGTAGGGTAGACTGGACAGTCCATATGGCTGTAGAGTACATCAGCTGTATAAGGCCCACTTGATTAGCCGAGTGTACTTTACACAACGTGATCCTACTAGCAGCTTCTAATGAATGTATCTAGTCTAGGTAATAGAAATTGATTTTACTAGCGGCTTCTAATGAATGTATCTAGTCTAGGTAATAAAAATTGATTTTACTAGCGGCTTCTAATGAATGTATCTAGTCTAGGTAATAGAAATTGATTTTACTAGCGGCTTCTAATGAATGTATCTAGTCTAGGTAATAAAAATTGATTTTACTAGCGGCTTCTAATGAATGTATCTAGTCTAGGTAATAGAAATTGATTTTACTAGCGGCTTCTAATGATTTAAACTGTTTCTGTATGTGACCAGTTTTTCTTATCTCCATCAATTGACAGCAATGTATCAGTTATGAAAAGCTTATGACGTGTTTTATTTTCCAGGATGCAAATGCCAGCTTCGACGTGAACGGCCACGATCCAGACCCCCAGCCTCGATACGATTTTTCCAACGAGAATAGGTAAACCTGCTTTTGATTTATAACTAAGTCCATTCTTATTGCAACGTGTTCTCAACAGCTTTAAGTTTGATTCTGTCCGACATTTCTCTAGCTAGTTCACCTTCCGGGCCGCTAGGTGCAGTTTCTTTGTACATTGCCCTCAGACTGTTCTGTTAGGTGAGTTCACAAGAAACACTAGCTACACAAATCATGTGTTGAATGGCCCAGTCAAAGTACTAAGGTTAAGATAGAACTTATTTGGTCAGAGTCTGTCAAAGTACTAAGGTTAAGATAGACCTTATTTAGTCAGAGTCTGTCAAAGTACTAAGGTTAAGATAGACCTTATTTGGTCAGAGTCTGTCAAAGTACTAAGGTTAAGATAGACCTTATTTGGTCAGAGTCTGTCAAAGTACTAAGGTTAAGATAGACCTTATTTGGTCAGAGTCTGTCAAAGTACTAAGGTTAAGATAGAAATAGACCTTATTTGGTCAGAGTCTGTCAAAGTACTAAGGTTAAGATAGGCCTTATTTGGTCAGTCTGTTAAGGTTAAGTTAGAAATAGACGTTAATGGTCAGAGTTAATTTGTAGATCGATCAACATGAATTTTTTATCTGAGTGTATTGTTTCAGTCATTATAAACTCTAACTAATAATGTGTCATTCAACGATACTACTAAATCCAGTGACACAAACACAACTTACACGCCGAAACAATCAGATTGTATGGATAGTTTTTAAAAGCTAGTTTGAAAGTGAACATCTTTCAATATTCATTTAATTTTTTTTTTCGTAGCACCTATGTGTTGCTAGTAAATCCCCGTAAATAAAAGCACACTTGTTCTGCTAGCCAATCCCCGTAAATAAAAGCACACTTGTTCCGCTAGCCAAATCCCCGTAAATAAAAGCACACTTGTTCTGCTAGCCAATCCCCGTAAATAAAAGCACATTTGTTCTGCTAGCCAATCCCCGTAAATAAAAGCACACTTGTTCTGCTAGCCAATCCCCGTAAATAAAAGCACATTTGTTCTGCTAGCCAATCCCCGTAAATAAAAGCACACTTGTTCTGCTAGCCAATCCCCGTAAATAAAAGCACATTTGTTCTGCTAGCCAATCCCCGTAAATAAAAGCACACTTGTTCTGCTAGCCAATCCCCGTAAATAAAAGCACATTTGTTCTGCTAGCCAATCCCCGTAAATAAAAGCACACTTGTTCTGCTAGCCAATCCCCGTAAATAAAAGCACACTTGTTCTGCTAGCCAATCCCCGTAAATAAAAGCACATTTGTTCTGCTAGCCAATCCCCGTAAATAAAAGCACACTTGTTCTGCTAGCCAATCCCCGTAAATAAAAGCACACTTGTTCTGCTAGCCAATCCCCGTAAATAAAAGCACATTTGTTCTGCTAGCCAATCCCCGTAAATAAAAGCACATTTGTTCTGCTAGCCAATCCCCGTAAATAAAAGCACACTTGTTCTGCTAGCCAATCCCCGTAAATAAAAGCACACTTGTTCTGCTAGCCAATCCCTGTAAATAAAAGCACATTTGTTCTGCTAGCCAATCCCCGTAAATAAAGACAAATGCTGGAAGACTACAACACTTAATACATGTTTTGAAAATTAACTCAGACCACATATCGTTTGTACCTTAATTGTGTAGTGATAGGGTTATTGGGTTCTTTTAACGTCAATTGTTCACAAAATTTCTTGACCGGCTGGGTGTTAAATTTGTAAAAAATATGATTCTATAATTGATTACAGGAAGAAATGTATTGGTTTCCTTTGTCTGAGTATTTCTTTGATTGATTACAGGAAGAAATGTATTTGTTTCCTTTGTCTGAGTATTTCTTTGATTGATTACAGGAAGAAATGTATTTGTTTCCTTTGAGTATTTCTTTGATTGATTACAGGAAGAAATGTATTTGTTTCCTTTGAGTATTTCTTTGATTGATTACAGGAAGAAATGTATTTGTTTCCTTTGAGTATTTCTTTGATTGATTACAGGAAGAAATGTATTTGTTTCCTTTGAGTATTTCTTTGATTGATTACAGGAAGAAATGTATTTGTTTCCTTTGAGTATTTCTTTGATTGATTACAGGAAGAAATGTATTTGTTTCCTTTGAGTATTTCTTTGATTGATTATAACGTTTACGGCTGCTGACGCCTGGGTCGGTTGAACATTGAATTGTGCTTCTTTTCATACGTCCACATTCCGTCTCTCAGTTTCTTATTGTCAGAATGGTCATATTTTCTGTTGGAAGCATCAGTGTTGTTTTATTTTACTTGCATAAAGCTAGCATCTAGCTATTTTTTGAGTGAGTTAAGACGTGTGTCTTGAACAACTGGCTACTTTAGGACGAATAGCTTGAGCAACTAGCTAGGACGTGTAGCTTGAGCAACTGGCTACTTTAGGACGTGTAGCTTGAGCAACTGGCTACTTTAGGACGTGTAACTTGAGCAACTGGCTACTTTAGGAAGTGTAACTTGAACAACTGGCTAGGACGTGTAGCTTGAGCAACTGGCTACTTTAGGACGTGTAACTTGAGCAACTGGCTACTTTAGGAAGTGTAACTTGAGCAACTGTCTACTTTAGGGCGTGTAGCTTAAACAACTGGCTACTTTAGGACGTGTAACTTGAACAACTAGCTACTTTAGGACGTGTAACTTGAGCAACTGGCTACTTTAGATCGTGTAGCTTGAGCAACTGGCTACTTTAGGACGTGTAACTTGAACAACTGGCTACTTTAGGACGTGTAACTTGAGCAACTGGCTAGGTCGTGTAGCTTGAGCAACTGGCTACTTTAGGACGTGTAACTTGAACAACTAGCTAGGACGTGTAACTTGAGCAACTGGCTACTTTAGGACGTGTAACTTGAACAACTAGCTACAGTATCTAGCTGGTTATTGGGCACGTTGGGGCCAGCTGTAAATATCGAACCAAGTCTGGGATGCCAAGTATGGTCGTGGTTTCATTGATCTTTCAATAACAAGTCGCATTTAGATAGATAGAGCAAAGATGGCCGTGTTAGGAGATAGAAGTGAAAACTCAGTAGAGTGCTACACTGCTTCTCTGTTCGCCCTTATTTCACGTTCTGAGCAGGTCTCAATAGCTTGACTAGTCTAACCTACAATCTGATCCTCATTCTAAAAAAACACACATGGAAATTTTTCTTTAAAAAATTTTTGTTGTTGTTTTTTTGTTTGCCTTTTGAGGAAAATGTTTCCCCCAATCTTTTTAGAGTGTAATTGCCCCTGGAAATACATGGAGATTCCTTTTGTCTTTTTGTATGAAACATATTTCAGAAATTGAAATACCTATTTTTACATTGTCAGTTACATAGCTGCTTTGCCTAAATTATGCTAGAGTTACTGCTCATTTGTAAAGAAGGAACTCAAAGGACGAGAACTCTTCCCGTTTCTTTCAGTCACAACAAGTGTTCCGCAAAGCCATTTTTAAAAATGTAACTCGACATGAATAAGCCACAATTTTTTCTTATTCTTTTAACCCAAATGCGTACGTGGAGTACCAGTTTCTTTAGACTCTCGTTGTCTTTGCTGTTTTTTTCTAGGCTGTCGTATCTATGCTATCATTAACAATATATACTGGGCCAAACTATTCTATTAAATCACGTTACGTCATCTCTAACACTAAATATCATAACGTCATTTCTAAAATTATTTAACATTACGTCATCTCTAAAACTAAATATAAAACGTCATTTCTAAAATTATTTAACATTACGTCATCTTTAAAACAAAATATCATAACGTCATTTCTAAAATTATTTAACATTACGTCATCTCTAAAACTAAATATCATAACGTCATCTCTAAAATTTATTATTATCATATCTTCATATCTAAAGTTTAATTTTAGAGATGACTTAAAGATGATATTTAAGTTAATGATTTTATAACATCATCTCTAAAATTAAATATCATTACGCCATCTCTAAAATTAAACATTATAACATCATCTCTAAAATTAAATATCTTAAGCTAGGTACACGATATTTCGTATATATGTATAAGATCTCATATTTAATTACTTTCAATTTTTGAGTGACTTCCGATAACCGGAAGTGGTACTTTACTTTTTAAATACCCATAATTTGAGAACCGTTTCGGTTAGATAAACGAAATTTAATACATAGATATAAGAACCTATTCTCTTGATTCTTTTCAAAATTTAAGTGATTGTCGTTGACCGGAATTAGTACTTTACGCTATTTCCTATTTCTCAAAATACAAAGACTATGGTAATTTTACATAACTTTTGGTGCGCAGTTCTTTTTTCAACGCGATGCTATTCTATTTCAAGTGTATATAATAGATCACATTAGTAATCAATTAGATAATAGTTCAATTAGTGCTATATAATGGGGTACTTCGCACCATTTTCGATTAATCAAACACCTTCACAATTTGATGATTTTAAATGTTGTTTTCATAAAGCATAGTCCAAGAAATGTTCACTTTAATGTGTTTTAAAAAAAAATACGACCTGTTTAGTCACACACTTCAATATTTCTCCAGCCCGATTGCACTGAAACTACCATACCCCTTACAGTTATAAAAGAATAGACTAGAAAGTTTCGGAGAGATCACTCCTGCTCTATTTTATATACAAGCAGTCGAGCAAACGATTTATTAGCTTTGAGTTACGAGCATAGTTGGAGGTTCGAGGAATCGGATCTGTGTCTTTCACTCTTCATGGAGAAGAAATACTATGAAAAAATTGCAACTGATCATGCATCGCATCTATTAAATTACACTTGTCTTACTTATTTCCTCAACTTTCTGAAAGGAAAGAAGAAAAAATATCTTAGGAACAGGTTGTTTTGTTTTTTATACGGTCTGCAGGTGAAAGTGAGCGTGGCGAAATAGGTGAAATCTAGTCTCGAAAATAATACATTTTCAAGCATTTAAGCTCAACTGAGAAGTTTTATTCAGGTTAGGTATAAAGTGTAGCATAAAGAGTATGCCTATAAAGAGTAAGTGAAAGAAATATCCGAAAGAGTTTACAATTAGGAGTGTAGTAGAGAGTATGTGAACAAAGTAAAGTTCCTTCTCCATTTACCTCCACCTATCTCCTCCACCTTTTACCTCGCGTTTTTGTTTGCGTTTGTTTAAGTTTGTTTGCGTTAGTATTTTCTTTTGTGTTTGTATGTGTGTTTGCGTTGTGTTTTTGTTTGTGTGTTCTCTTGTGTTTGTATTTGTGTTTGCGTTGTATTTGTGTTTGCGTGTTGCATTTGCATTTTCTTTTGTGTTTGCGCGTTTGTTTGAGTTTGAGTTTGCATTTGTTTTTTCTTTTGTGTTTGCGTTGTGTTGGTTGTTCGGTTTTGTTCTCTTCCCAAGTTGGTACATTTAAAAAAGATTCACCTTGGCGAAGCACGGATACACACTAGTATAAGTATAATCAAGGAAGTTTAGGGGAGATCACTCCCATTTTATTTTAAATTGTGTTTAATTACCGAAAAAAACTAAAACGTCAAATCCATCCACTCTTTTTTAAAGCCCGAAAAAAAGAACAGTTAAGATTTTATAACCATATTAATTTTGATAGCACCGTGCATGATTTTTAAAAATATTTAATGGGCCTCTCCAAAAACGTCGCGGCTATTCTCGGTTCTGGTCCATTGTGCCAGAACGCCACGAGCTTGGGTGCATCAATGTTTATGGACCGACCTCACATGCAAGTTACTAACGTTCAGGCCGAGATTTATTTGGTGATTAGGTTAAGACCACAGAAAAAGTCTACTTGGCACTGACTGTTAAACATGGCACTAGTTAGGTACGTCGGCACATATATCTAGGGTGCCATTAAGCTCAAGCTACCTGTGCTGACACGCGATGTGTGCGCTGTTAGCAAAAGTTCTCATATCAAATTTAAACTCAAAACATTTTAATGCACATTTCTCAAGAACATTCCAAGTATCAACAACTAGCCTACTTCGTTAGATCCAAAGTTACACTCGAGCAGCGCACTCTTGTTATAAGCTTTTATTTAGTTCACAACGTATACTTGTTGGTGGCTTGTGACAAATCTTGGTTTAAGTATTGAAATTATACTTGGGCAGCATTTAGAAAGCACACCAGAGTGATGACTTGAATGGTGAAATTATACTTGGGCCGTGTATTAACCCACTTTGTTGGACCACACATCAACATGTTAACCCGCTTTGTTGGAGCACACATCGGCATGTTAACCCGCTTTGTTGGACCACACATCGGCATGTTAACCCGCTTTGTTAAACCACACATCGGCATGTTAACCCGCTTTGTTGGACCACACATCGGCATGTTAACCCGCTTTGTTGGACCACACATCGGCATGTTAACCCGCTTTGTTGGACCACACATCGGCATGTTAACCCGCTTTGTTGGACCACACATCGGCATGTTAACCCGCTTTGTTGGAGCACACATCGGCATGTTAACCCGCTTTGTTGGACCACACATCAACATGTTAACCCGCTTTGTTGGACCACACATCGGCATGTTAACCCGCTTTGTTGGACCACACATCGGCATGTTAACCCGCTTTGTTGGACCACACATCGGCATGTTAACCCGCTTTGTTGGACCACACATCGGCATGTTAACCCGCTTTGTTGGACCATACATCGGCATGTTGATACCTGTCTACACTCCCTGTCTGAGCCTCGTTGGTCCATCTAGGTTACCTGCACGTACTCGCTGCTTTCCCCAATTAAAAAAAAAATCAACAAACTAAAATATTTATATATATATATTTCTCTTTACATTATAGACGCTCTCATAAGTGTATGGTCGATTGCGTCTAAGATAAATTAAATCTGAAACTTAATTCAGTTCGAGACCTTATTTTGTCTAACATCGTGGATGGGTTGAAGAAATGTGGCCTCAGTAATCTAAGCTCACACTTTCAGCAATGGGTCGTGCTAAAACCGAATGACCATGTTTTTATTAAAAACTGAATTAGCTTCATGTAAACTAATTTCAAATGTAACCACAAAAGTCTCTCGTCAGACTAGTTTTCAGATAGATGATTGCATTTTTCACAACTGAAAAACATACATCTCCGAACTGAGGAATGGCACGAAATGTTTCAATTTTTAAATAGAAAAGGTTTACACATTACTAGGATTCGCCTACCTCCCCCACCCCACCCTCTCATATTTTGAAGGTGTAATGAACTTGGTTATCACCCGGTGCTAAATCTGGCTATCTGCTGGCGCCTACATTTCTTCCTTCCTCTCTACATTTGATAAGTAACGCCTACCTGATAGTATTTTACTCGAGATTAAGTCAGCTTCAACTGGAGTTCGAAGATCGCGGCGTGTTCAAAATTTTAACTTGCTACCTTGTCGGGTTTTTACCAAATGAAATAAAAAAAGAATTGCTTTTTTTTGTACCTTTTCCGATATAGCTAGAATAACAATATATCATTATATTTTGCTCCATTACTTTGTTTAAGAAAAAGATAATCTTCTTGTCCCCAATACTATTTTACTGGCTTAAAAAAACATACTTTTGTTTTCTTAATTATCAAATACAATTTAAGGAAAACATACGAATTTTTATTCCGATCAAACTATTTCTCTCGTAGGAAAAACAACTAGACTCTACATGATCTGTAGTTTGAAAGATAGGCAAACGTTCTAACCGCTTCCATGACCTACTGCTCTTCTTAAAATAGTCTAATATGGATGCCCATACAGCTCATTTAAATAGTTTTGCACTAAGCAAATTTAAAAGAAATTGCTTCTTCTAATTATTAATTAAATACGGCACACTAAAGCATGTCATAGCTTTAAAAAGGAATTTATTCAAAATAATAATATAAATTTAAAAACAAAACATTCCAAATAAAACGACCACGGGAAACCATTACTTATCAAACTTTCGTATTTCATATGCTTTTGACCGACTTGCCAGATAGGCAGTGAAAGATGACGTATGTATTTGTGTTGTTACAGGCATGGCACCAGATGTGCAGGAGAAGTGGCCGCTCAAGCTGACAATAATATCTGCAGTGTTGGAGTGGCTTATAACGCTAGGATTGGAGGTAATGTAACTAATTACAGGTTCAACACCACCAATACATATTTAGAATAGTGTAGAATATAACTATCAGCATACATTGGATGGTAGGCCATTACAACCAAACCGGAACTCTCTGCCTCCTATTGATTTGTTAACAAGGGAAGGTAAAGCCAACACACATTATTCAATGACCACACAGGCTTTTTGTTGTTCTTTGTTTTCTTTTGGGGTGGGCGGTATAATGGGTTGATAAATGATTTGGGGAGGTCGTAATGGGTTGATAAATGATTTGGGGAGGTCGTAATGGGTTGATAAATGAGTTGGGGAGGTCGTAATGGGTTGATAAATGAGTTGGGTAATGGGTTGATAAATGATTTGGGGAGGTCGTAATGGGTTAATAAATGATTTGGGGAGGTCGTAATGGGTTGATAAATGATTTGGGGAGGTCGTGATGGGTTGATAAATGAGTTGGAGAGGTCGTAATGGGTTGATACATGAGTTGAGGGGTTGGTGTAGGAAAATCAAATAGCTGAAAGACAGGTGTATGGGAGAAAAGAAAAGTCACTTGATGCTGGGTCGAATAGATCCGTGACCATCATAAAAGATGGATAGCAGGTAATAACACTAAAAGATGTTGGACCCCAGATGCAAAGCAGTTCATATTTAGTACGGTCCAGGGCAATGGTTGCAGTGTATTGATTCCATCAAGCATTTGTTTCAGGGCTTTGGTCTAAGGGCTTTAAACTATCGGGCATTTGTCGCTGGGCATAGATTTCATCGGGCATTTGTCTAAGGGCTTTAAAATATCGGGCATTTGTCGCTGGGCATAGATTTCATCGGGCATTTGTCTAAGGGCTTTAAAATATCGGGTATTTGTCGCTGGGCATTGATTTCATCGGGCATTTGTCTAAGGGCTTTAAACTATCGGGAATTTGTCGCTGGGCATAGATTTCATCGGGCATTGGTCTAAGGGCTTTAAACTATCGGGCATTTGTCGCTGGGCATAGATTTCATCGGGCATTGGTCTAAGGGCTTTAAAATATCGGGCATTTGTCGCTGGGCATTGATTTCATCGGGCATTGGGCTAAGGGCTTTAAACTATCGGGCATTTGTCGCTGGGCATAGATTTCATCGGGCATTGGTCTTAGGGCTTTAAACTATCGGGAATTTGTCGCTGAGCATAGATTTCATCGGGCATTGGTCTAAGGGCTTTAAAATATCGGGCATTTGTCGCTGGGCATTGATTTCATCGGGCATTGGTCTAAGGGCTTTAAAATATGGGGCATTCGGCAACACAGCTGTCCACACATCCAAATGTTATAACATCATTAACACAGCTGTCCACACATCCAAATGTTATAACATCATTAACACAGCTGTCCACACATTCAAATGTTATATCAGTAACACAGCTGTCCACACATCCAAATGTTACAACATCAGTAACACAGCTGTCCACACATCCAAATGTTACAACATCAGTAACACAGCTGTCCACACAAAATGTCCACACATCCAAATGTTACATCAGTAACACAGCTGTCCACACATCCAAATGTTACAACATCAGTAACACAGCTGTCCACACATTCAAATGTTATATCATTAACACAGCTGTCCACACATTCAAATGTTACAACATCAGTAACACAGCTGTCCACACAAGCTGTCCACACATTCAAATGTTACAACATCAGTAACACAGCTGTCCACACATCCAAATGTTACAACATCAGTAATACAGCTGTCCACACATCCAAATGTTATATCATTAACACAGCTGTCCACACATTCAAATGTTACAACATCAGTAACACAGCTGTCCACACATCCAAATGTTACAACATCAGTAACACAGCTGTCCACACATCCAAATGTTACAACATCATTAACACAGCTGTCCACACATTCAAATGTTACAACATCAGTAACACAGCTGTCCACACAAGCTGTCCACACATTCAAATGTTACAACATCAGTAACACAGCTGTCCACACATCCAAATGTTACAACATCAGTAATACAGCTGTCCACACATCCAAATGTTATATCATTAACACAGCTGTCCACACATTCAAATGTTACAACATCAGTAACACAGCTGTCCACACATTCAAATGTTACAACATCAGTAACACAGCTGTCCACACATCCAAATGTTACAACATCATTAACACAGCTGTCCACACATTCAAATGTTACAACATCAGTAACACAGCTGTCCACACAAGCTGTCCACACATCCAAATGTTACAACATCAGTAACACAGCTGTCCACACATTCAAATGTTACAACATCAGTAACACAGCTGTCCACACAAGCTGTCCACACATCCAAATGTTACATCAGTAACACAGCTGTCCACACATCCAAATGTTACAACATCAGTAACACAGCTGTCCACACATTCAAATGTTACAACATCAGTAACACAGCTGTCCACACAAGCTGTCCACACATCCAAATGTTACATCAGTAACACAGCTGTCCACACATCCAAATGTTACAACATCAGTAACACAGCTGTCCACACATTCAAATGTTACAACATCAGTAACACAGCTGTCCACACATTCAAATGTTACAACATCAGTAACACAGCTGTCCACACAAGCTGTCCACACATCCAAATGTTATATCATTAACACAGCTGTCCACACATCCAAATGTTACAACATCAGTAACACAGCTGTCCACACATCCAAATGTTACAACATCAGTAACACAGCTGTCCACACAAAATGTCCACACATCCAAATGTTACATCAGTAACACAGCTGTCCACACATCCAAATGTTACAACATCAGTAACACAGCTGTCCACACATCCAAATGTTACAACATCAGTAACACAGCTGTCCACACAAAATGTCCACACATCCAAATGTTACATCAGTAACACAGCTGTCCACACATCCAAATGTTACAACATCAGTAACACAGCTGTCCACACATCCAAATGTTACATCAGTAACACAGCTGTCCACACATCCAAATGTTACAACATCAGTAACACAGCTGTCCACACATCCAAATGTTACAACATCAGTAATACAGCTGTCCACACATTCAAATGTTACAACATCAGTAACACAGCTGTCCACACATTCAAATGTTACAACATCAGTAACACAGCTGTCCACACATTCAAATGTTACAACATCAGTAACACAGCTGTCCACACATCCAAATTTTATATCATTAACACAGCTGTCCACACATCCAAATGTTACAACATCAGTAATACAGCTGTACACACATCTCAATGTTATATCAGCAATATCTCTCCCCATTCCCTCTTTCCCCCCTCCCCCTGAATTAACATTGTAGTAGTATATTTGGGTTCATGCAACATGCAATATGTGGTATTTAAGTCTCAGATGTGAGGTCAACATAATGCAGTCTGAGAGTTGGTGAAATCTGATAGTGTTTATGATTCGATGGCCCTCACTCATACTTTGATTGCTCCCATTCATGCTGTATGCTGGCCCTCACCCATGCTTCACAACAGCCCCCACACTTGCTTCATGATGGCCCCCACATTAGCTTCATGATGGCCCCCACCCTTGTTTCATGATGGCCCCCACACTTGCTTCATGATGGCCCCCACACTTGCTTCATGATGGCCCCCATACTTGTTTCATGATGGCCCCCACACTTGCTTCATGATGGCCCCCACACTTGCTTCATGATGGCCTTCACACTTGCTTCATGATGGCCCCCACACATGCTTCATGATGGCCCCCACTCTTGTTTCATGATGGCCCCCACACTTGCTTCATGATGGCCCCCACACATGCTTCATGATGGCCCCCACACTTGTTTCATGCTTTATAATGGCCCCTACCATGCTTTATGATGGCCCCCACACTTGTTTCATGCTTTATGATGGCCCCCAACCATGCTTTATGATGGCCCCCACACTTGTTTCATGCTTTATGATGGCCCCCAACCATGCTTTATGATGGCCCCCAACCATGCTTTATGATGGCCCCCAACCATGCTTTATGATGGCCCCCAACCATGCTTTATGATGGCCCCCAACCATGCTTTATGATGGCCCCCAACCATGCTTTATGATGGCCCCCAACCATGCTTTATGATGGCCCCCAACCATGCTTTATGATGGCCCCCACACTTGTTTCATGCTTTATAATGGCCCCTACCATGCTTTATGATGGCCCCCACACTTGTTTCATGCTTTATGATGGCCCCCTACCATGCTTTATGATGGCCCCCAACCATGCTTTATGATGGCCCCAACCATGCTTTATGATGGCCCCCACACTTGTTTCATGCTTTATGATGGCCCCCTACCATGCTTTATGATGGCCCCCAACCATGCTTTATGATGGCCCCCAACCATGCTTTATGATGGCCCCCAACCATGCTTTATGATGGCCCCAAACCAAGCTTTATGATGGCCCCCAACCATGCTTTATGATGGCCCCCAACCATGCTTTATGATGGCCCCCAACCATGCTTTATGATGGCCCCCAACCATGCTTTATGATGGCCCCCAACCATGCTTTATGATGGCCCCCAACCATGCTTTATGATGGCCCCCAACCATGCTTTATGATGGCCCCCACACTTGTTTCATGCTTTATGATGGCCCCCTACCATGCTTTATGATGGCCCCCACACTTGTTTCATGCTTTATGATGGCCCCCAACCATGCTTTATGATGGCCCCCACACTTGTTTCATGCTTTATGATGGCCCCCAACCATGCTTTATGATGGCCCCCAACCATGCTTTATGATGGCCCCCAACCATGCTTTATGATAGCCGTCACCAATACTTAATGATGGCCCTCACCAATTCTTTATAATGGCGTCTTAGCCAAGATTACTGTGACCCACCTCACTTCTCACTAAATGGGATATGTTGTTCAATGGATTTGTAAAAGACAATAGTAAAAACTTTCACTTTATATGTAAAACTCTTTTAATCTACTTTTAATCTCAGTGTGAGGGAAGTGTGTATAGTGAGAGGAAGAGTAGCCATGTCCTCTCCTAGACTGGTTGTACTTTATGTGCTTGTCCTGCCTCATCCCTCCCTCCACCAATGTAAAATTGATAAGGCCCAAGCCATCTCCACTGTGTAATCAGATAGCACACCACAATTTTTTCTCTCCCCCACCAGGCCAATGTTTTCTCAGCTTTGTTGATTCCAGTTGTTGTTGTTGTTTTTTTTAAATATAGGCTTGGAGCTTCTTAACATTTTTTTTTCTTTTGTAATACTTACCATGACATTAATCCTGTAACATTGGAGCTATGCTGTTGTAACAGGCCTACACAAAACATGGGCTAAGACCTCACATTAACCCTGTAACATTGGAGCTATGCTGTTGTAACAGGCCTACACAAAACATGGGCTAAGACCTCACATTAACCCTGTAACATTGGAGCTATGCTGTTGTAACAGGCCTACACAAAACATGGGCTAAGACCTTACATTAACCCTGTAACATTGGAGCTATGCTGTTGTAACAGGCCTACACAAAACATGGGCTAAGACCTTACATTAACACTGTAACATTGGAGCTATGCTGTTGTAAGAGGCAAACAAAAAACATGGGCTAAGACCTCACATTAATCCTGTAACTTTGGAGCTATGCTGTTGTTGGTTTTTATAATCCACTAAGTAGTTAAAAATTTGGGATTTTGTAAATTGAAATAGAAATTGTTGATATATATAATGTTGATCAAGGTTGATTAATATTTAATTGATGATATATATAATCTTGATCAGGGTTGATTAATATTTCAAAAAGAAATTTGCAGTTTAGGTAAATGTGATATATTTTTTTTTTAAATAAATTTTTATCTGATGATGGGCTGATGTTTTATATCGTTTTATTTAGACCAGAGGTCTCCAAACTTTTCAGCCTGAGGGCCGCATTCACTATCAAATATTAGTTCGGGGGCCAGTTTCTTCAAAACATCTCTTTCCCCCCCCCCCCCCCCCCCCCCCCGAAAAACGTGTACCGCCCCCCTCCCCTTAACGAAATATAATTTATATAGAAATATATACAATTTTCAAGTGCCCCCCCCCCCCCCCCCGAGGAAAAAGTCTGAAAGAAATACTGTTGGTGACCAAAATCACACTCGAGATCCAAGTTTGCTCTCAAATTGTTCTTCACGTACATCAATCTTGAAAATATTTGTTCACACAGGTATCTTGTTCCAAAATTTGAAAGGTACTTTGATGCAAAAGTTTTAATATTAGGAAAATCTTCCTTCTGCAAAAACTTATAAAAACCTACCCGCCCTTCTTTGAACGTGTCTCTAATGACCCCCAGCTGCAGTTCATTTTTGCAACTGGCCACATTTGCTTCAAATGGGTTCTGAAACAGTCTCACTTTTTTCTGCCTTTAAATCCAAGTCAGAAGACCGCTACTGAAACTGCAGCTTGAAGTCTTTGATGATCTCGTATGCAAAGACCTTGCACTACTGAGAGTAAGTTGTTGGCTTGTACTTGTTCTAAAAACATGACAAGTTTGGATCTGAAAGCCTTTAGGTGATTGTATAGATAAGAAACTAAATTTCCATCTTGTAGTTTTAGGTTCAGTAAATTTAAATGACTAGTTATGTTTGCAGCAGAGGTCAATTTCTATACCCACTCTTCATCAGACATTAAGTACATCAGCTTGTGGCTTGCCTTTACTTTCAAGGAAGTCACCTATTTCCTTTATTAACTTAAATACTCTGCTCAGAAAAATTTCTCGCAAATTAGCCCTCGTACTGCTGTGAAATATGGTAAATCTTGCGATTCTGTTTCTATCTTTTAACATGTCTTTGAACTGTCTATATTCTCTCCGGTAACAGTGCCATACATTCTATGTAGGGAAGCCAGCTCTTGTGTTATGCTTATGTCTTCATCCACACCTCTAATAAACATAAGCAGTTGAGATGTGGAACAGCTGTCCAGCAACTGATCCATTACAATTAAAAAATTGCCAAATTTGCTTGCATTTTCCCTAATTGAGGCACGATGTTTTCACCGATGCCTGCAACACGGCGGGCAATGGTATTTGCACCCAAAGCTACATTTTCAAATTGTATTGAATTTTCTGGGAATAGCTTCTCAGCCACCTCTAACAAACATTTATTCCGTGGACAAAAAGATTGCCGCGGGCCGGATGAGAGGACCTCGCGGGCCGTAGTTTGGAGACCCCTGATTTAGACTATTTGATGATTTCATAATGTTTTACTTATTTCATTTTGGCTATGATGACTCCATGTTATACTTATTTCTATTGGCTATGGATAACTCCATAATCGCATATTTAAAAAAATACATTTTACCATTTGAAATACTATTATTACTTTCAATTATTTATGTTTTTTATCAACTTAAAAACCCTCTAAATGAGATTAATATTGCCTCATCCCTCTTGATTTGTATGCACCAGCAAGTCTTAAATCTGATCAAACTCCTCAGGGGTGAGAATGTTGGATGGTGATGTAACAGACTCGGTGGAAGCTCAGTCTCTGAGTTTAAATCCACAACATATCCACATTTATAGTGCAAGCTGGGGTCCGGATGATGACGGGAGAACTGTGGATGGACCAGCTACATTAGCTAGAAAAGCATTTTATGATGGCATTACCAAGGTGAGGACATGCACATTGTTTAACACACTTAGAAAACAACTAAGATATGATTTATGTTATACTGTTCTATTAAAATGCCTCCTTAATGGGGTAAATGTTAGGTAATTTCTGTTGAGATGCCTCATTAATGGGGCATATGTTGAGATAATGTCTATTAAGAGGCCTCATTAATGGGGCGTATGTTGAGATAATGTCTATTAAGAGGCCTCATTAATGGGACATATGTTGAGATAATGTCTATTAAGAGGCCTCATTAATGGGGCGTATGTTGAGATAATGTCTATTAAGAGGCCTCATTAATGGGGCGTATGTTGAGATAATGTCTATTAAGAGGCCTCATTAATGGGGCATATGTTGAGATAATGTCTATTAAGAGGCCTCATTAATGGGGCATATGTTGAGATAATGTCTATTAAGAGGCCTCATTAATGGGGCGTATGTTGAGATAATGTCTATTAAGAGGCCTCATTAATGGGGCATATGTTGAGATAATGTCTATTAAGAGGCCTCATTAATGGGGCATATGTTGAGATAATGTCTATTAAGAGGCCTCATTAATGGGGCGTATGTTGAGATAATGTCTATTAAGAGGCCTCATTAATGGGGCGTATGTTGAGATAATGTCTATTAAGAGGCCTCATTAATGGGGCATATGTTGAGATAATGTCTATTAAGAGGCCTCATTAATGGGGCATATGTTGAGATAATGTCTATTAAGATGCTTTATGAATGCTACATGTGTTTATTCAGGGTCGTGGAGGCTTGGGTTCAATCTTTGTGTGGGCCAGTGGTAATGGTGGACGTGATTTTGATAACTGCAACTGTGATGGCTACACCAACAGCATTTACACCTTGTCCATAAGCAGTGTGACTGAGAAGGGTGACATACCTTGGTATTCTGAAGCCTGTTCTTCAACTCTGGCTACCACCTACAGCAGTGGCTCTGGAGTAGAGAAACAGATTGTAAATGTTTTTTCAGTTCAACTTTAACTTTTTAATTTTCACACAATTCATATATATATATATATATATATATATATATATATATATATATATATATATATATATATATATATATATATATATATATATATATATATATATATATATATATATATATATATATATATATATATATATATATATATATATATATATATGGATGCGTGTGTGTGTGTACTTGCGTGTACTTCACCACGGTGAATCTTTTTTAAATGTACCAACTTGGGAACAGAACAAAACCAAGCATAAACGCTAACACAAACTCAAACACAACGCAAACGCCAAAAAAACACACAAATGCAGCACTCAAACACTAATGCAAATGCAACACACAAACGCAAACAAAAATACAAACACAAAATAAATGCAAACACAGGCTCAAACGCTTTATCAAATGGCTTTATAACCCTTGTCCCGACTTAAATGATCCAAAGGGCAGTCACCGCAGTGTGTTCTACCTCTCTATTGCGGTAGTGTGGGTGAACCCTTGTCCCGACTTAAATGATCCAAAGGGCAGTCACCGCAGTGTGTTCTACCTCTCTATTGCGGTAGTGTGGGTGAACCCTTGTCCTGACTTATATGATCCAAGGGGCAGTCGCCGAAGTGTGTTCTACCTCTCTATTGCGGTAGTGTGGGTGAACCCTTGTCCTGACTTATATGATCCAAGGGGCAGTCGCCGAAGTGTGTTCTACCTCTCTATTGCGGTAGTGTGGGTGAACCCTTGTCCTGACTTATATGATCCAAGAAACATATGGCAGGCATTGTTTACATTTCAGATAACTCAGTTTTATAAAACAAGATCACGCGTCTAAGAACATAGGACTGGTAACTCTTTGATGAAACCCTCTTAAAATATTGCCTCAGACTTTCTTATGAGAAAGTGGCAACACATAGGGACGTGCACGCTAGCTTTATATATATTTTCATTTAGTCCTGGTGGGGGTAGACTCACTTCTGGGACAGTACCCCCTAAAGAGATGTCTGAGAGAAACTTTGCCCATAGCTAGTGTTCTGTTGGGTTTCCCCACAGCTTCTTAAGCAACTGGGGTAAGTTAATGTCCTTCCAACACAAGGACCAGGGGTGCAAACTGTACGGGGATGTGCGATCTCACTGTACGGGGATGTGCGATCTCACTGTACGGGGATGTGCGATCTCACTGTACGGGGATGTGCGATCTCACTGTACGGGGATGTGCGATCTCACTGTACGGGGATGTGCGATCTCACTGTACGGGGATGTGCGATCTCACTGTACGGGGATGTGCTATCTCACTGTACGGGGATGTGCGATCTCACTGTACGGGGATGTGCTATCTCACTGTACGGGGATGTGCTATCTCACTGTACGGGGATGTGCTATCTCACTGTACGGGGATGTGCTATCTCACTGTATGGGGATGTGCTATCTCACTGTACGGGGATGTGCTATCTCACTGTACGGGGATGTGCGATCTCACTGTACGGGGATGTGCTATCTCACTGTACGGGGATGTGCTATCTCACTGTACGGGGATGTGCTATCTCACTGTACGGGGATGTGCGATCTCACTGTACGGGGATGTACGATCTCACTGTACGGGGATGTGCTATCTCACTGTACGGGGATGTGCAATCTCACTGTACGGGGATGTGCTATCTCACTGTACGGGGATGTGCGATCTCACTGTACGGGGATGTACGATCTCACTGTACTGGGATGTGCTATCTCACTGTACGGGGATGTGCTATCTCACTGTATGGGGATGTGCTATCTCACTGTACGGGGATGTACGATCTCACTGTACGGGGATGTACGATCTCACTGTACAGGGATGTGCTATCTCACTGTACGGGGATGTGCTATCTCACTGTACGGGGATGTACGATCTCACTGTACTGGGATGTGCTATCTCACTGTACGGGGATGTGCTATCTCACTGTATGGGGATGTGCTATCTCACTGTACGGGGATGTACGATCTCACTGTACGGGGATGTACGATCTCACTGTACGGGGATGTGCTATCTCACTGTACGGGGATGTACGATCTCACTGTACGGGGATGTGCGATCTCACTGTACGGGGATGTGCTATTTCACTGTACGAGGATGTGCTATCTCACTGTACGGGGATGTGCTATCTCACTGTACGGGGATGTGCGATCTCACTGTACGGGGATGTGCTATCTCACTGTACGGGGATGTGCGATCTCACTGTACGGGGATGTGCGATCTCACTGTACAGGGATGTGCTATCTCACTGTACGGGGATGTGCTATCTCACTGTACGGGGATGTGCTATCTCACTGTACGGGGATGTGCTATCTCACTGTACGGGGATGTGCTATCTCACTGTACGGGGATGTGCTATCTCACTGTACGGGGATGTGCTATCTCACTGTACGGGGATGTGCTATCTCACTGTACGGGGATGTGCTATCTCACTGTACGGGGATGTGCTATCTCACTGTACGGGGATGTGCTATCTCACTGTACGGGGATGTGCTATCTCACTGTACGGGGATGTGCGATCTCACTGTACGGGGATGTACGATCTCACTGTACTGGGATGTGCTATCTCACTGTACGGGTATGTGCTATCTCACTGTACGGGGATGTGCTATCTCACTGTACGGGGATGTACGATCTCACTGTACGGGGATGTACGATCTCACTGTACGGGGATGTGCTATCTCACTGTACGAGGATGTGCGATCTCACTGTACGGGGATGTGCGATCTCACTGTACGGGGATGTGCTATCTCACTGTACGAGGATGTGCTATCTCACTGTACGGGGATGTGCGATCTCACTGTACGGGGATGTGCGATCTCACTGTACGGGGATGTGCGATCTCACTGTACGGGGATGTGCGATCTCACTGTACGGGGATGTGCTATCTCACTGTACGGGGATGTGCGATCTCACTGTACGGGGATGTGCTATCTCACTGTACGGGGATGTGCGATCTCACTGTACGGGGATGTGCTATCTCACTGTACGGGGATGTGCTATCTCACTGTATGGGGATGTGCTATCTCACTGTACGGGGATGTGCTATCTCACTGTACGGGGATGTGCGATCTCACTGTACGGGGATGTGCTATCTCACTGTACGGGGATGTGCTATCTCACTGTACGGGGATGTGCTATCTCACTGTATGGGGATGTGCTATCTCACTGTACGGGGATGTGCTATCTCACTGTACGGGGATGTGCGATCTCACTGTACGGGGATGTGCTATCTCACTGTACGGGGATGTGCTATCTCACTGTACGGGGATGTGCTATCTCACTGTACGGGGATGTGCGATCTCACTGTACGGGGATGTGCGATCTCACTGTACGGGGATGTACGATCTCACTGTACGGGGATGTGCTATCTCACTGTACAGGGATGTGCGATCTCACTGTACAGGGGTTTTGTGCGATCTCACTGTACCGGGATGTGCTATCTCACTGTACGGGGATGTGCTATCTCACTGTACGGGGATGTGCTATCTCACTGTACGGGGATGTGCTATCTCACTGTACGGGGATGTACGATCTCACTGTACGGGGATGTGCTATCTCACTGTACGGGGATGTGCTATCTCACTGTACGGGGATGTGCGATCTCACTGTACGGGGATGTACGATCTCACTGTACTGGGATGTGCTATCTCACTGTACGGGGATGTGCTATCTCACTGTATGGGGATGTGCTATCTCACTGTGCGGGGATGTACGATCTCACTGTACGGGGATGTACGATCTCACTGTACGGGGATGTGCTATCTCACTGTACGGGGATGTGCTATCTCACTGTACGGGGATGTGCGATCTCACTGTACGGGGATGTACGATCTCACTGTACTGGGATGTGCTATCTCACTGTACGGGGATGTGCTATCTCACTGTATGGGGATGTGCTATCTCACTGTACGGGGATGTACGATCTCACTGTACGGGGATGTACGATCTCACTGTACGGGGATGTGCTATCTCACTGTACGGGGATGTACGATCTCACTGTACGGGGATGTGCTATCTCACTGTACGGGGATGTGCTATCTCACTGTACGGGGATGTGCGATCTCACTGTACGGGGATGTACGATCTCACTGTACTGGGATGTGCTATCTCACTGTACGGGGATGTGCTATCTCACTGTATGGGGATGTGCTATCTCACTGTACCGGGATGTACGATCTCACTGTACGGGGATGTACGATCTCACTGTACGGGGATGTGCTATCTCACTGTACGGGGATGTGCTATCTCACTGTACGGGGATGTGCTATCTCACTGTACGGGGATGTGCGATCTCACTGTACGGGGATGTGCTATCTCACTGTACGGGGATGTGCTATCTCACTGTACGGGGATGTGCTATCTCACTGTACGGGGATGTGCGATCTCACTGTACGGGGATGTACGATCTCACTGTACTGGGATGTGCTATCTCACTGTACGGGGATGTGCTATCTCACTGTACGGGGATGTGCTATCTCACTGTACGGGGATGTGCTATCTCACTGTATGGGGATGTGCTATCTCACTGTACGGGGATGTGCTATCTCACTGTACGGGGATGTGCGATCTCACTGTACGGGGATGTGCTATCTCACTGTACGGGGATGTGCTATCTCACTGTACGGGGATGTGCTATCTCACTGTACGGGGATGTGCGATCTCACTGTACGGGGATGTACGATCTCACTGTACGGGGATGTGCTATCTCACTGTACGGGGATGTGCGATCTCACTGTACAGGGGTTTTGTGCGATCTCACTGTACGGGGATGTGCTATCTCACTGTACGGGGATGTGCTATCTCACTGTACGGGGATGTGCTATCTCACTGTACGGGGATGTGCTATCTCACTGTACGGGGATGTGCTATCTCACTGTACGGGGATGTGCTATCTCACTGTACGGGGATGTGCTATCTCACTGTACGGGGATGTGCGATCTCACTGTACGGGGATGTACGATCTCACTGTACGGGGATGTGCTATCTCACTGTACGGGGATGTGCTATCTCACTGTACGGGGATGTGCTATCTCACTGTACGGGGATGTGCTATCTCACTGTACGGGGATGTGCTATCTCACTGTACGGGGATGTGCGATCTCACTGTACGGGGATGTACGATCTCACTGTACTGGGATGTGCTATCTCACTGTACGGGGATGTGCTATCTCACTGTACGGGGATGTGCTATCTCACTGTACGGGGATGTACGATCTCACTGTACGGGGATGTACGATCTCACTGTACGGGGATGTGCTATCTCACTGTACGGGGATGTACGATCTCACTGTACGGGGATGTACGATCTCACTGTACAGGGATGTGCTATCTCACTGTACGGGGATGTACGATCTCACTATACGGGGATGTGCGATCTCACTGTAGGGGGATGTGCTATCTCACTGTACGAGGATGTGCTATCTCACTGTACGGGGATGTGCTATCTCACTGTACGGGGATGTGCGATCTCACTGTACGGGGATGTGCTATCTCACTGTACGGGGATGTGCGATCTCACTGTACGGGGATGTGCGATCTCACTGTACAGGGATGTGCTATCTCACTGTACGGGGATGTGCTATCTCACTGTACGGGGATGTGCTATCTCACTGTACGGGGATGTGCTATCTCACTGTACGGGGATGTGCTATCTCACTGTACGGGGATGTGCGATCTCACTGTACGGGGATGTGCGATCTCACTGTACGGGGATGTCCTATCTCACTGTACGGGGATGTGCGATCTCACTGTACGGGGATGGACTATCTCACTGTACGGGGATGGGCTATCTCACTGTACGGGGATGTGCGATCTCCATACGAGGATGTGCTATCCCACACTGTCAAGTGACCAGAGCACCGTGTGCTCCCCACTAGCACTTTGGTTTCTATATTTGTTATGGTGGCTCCCATGAGAGCCCTGCAACATCTGTTGTTACAACAATAGACAAATAGTGATAGGTGTGGATAGAAAATTAGGTTATGCGTCTAGAAATTCATAATTGGTAACAATTTATTGTTATCATAGATACTTTTTAGATTGCAGCAATGCACTTCAATTAATGCTTCAAAATGAGCCAGAAATATTCTGCTTATTTTATTTATTACTTATTTTTTATTCCTTTAAAATAAGTTCATATTTATTTATTTGGAATGAGATTTTAGCGCTGGTGTCAAAAGTCTATTTCTCTATAAAACGGCATGAGTTTTAATTGGCAGGTGACAACAGACCTTCGTAAGAGTTGTACAGAGACACACACTGGTACATCTGCTAGTGCTCCCCTGGCTGCTGGCCTAATAGCATTAGCCTTGGAGGCAAAGTAAGGCTGTCTTTTTATAATTTTATTAGTCTAGCATTTGTAAGTATTTATTAAAGCACATTAAAGTGAATAAACATTTTTTTACATTGACTAGCCCGATGTTAACTTGGCGTGACATGCAACACATTGTAATTGAGACATCCAAAAGTGAAAACCTGGGTACTCGTGAAGACTGGGCTAGTAATGGAGTTGGAAAGAATGGTATTTTCTTTCTCTTATTGTTCTTCTAGAACTTTATCAACAATTCTTATTACTGCAAAAAATTCAGGCCCTGTTTGCCAGTATATTTCTACATTTGATGTTGAATATTTGAAATATGTGTAATGTGCAGTTTCTAGCATCAATTATTTTGTAAAGTAGTTTAAAATTTTTATAATTCATGTACTTATTAGCTAAATTTGATTTTAGTTAGTCACTCATTTGGATTTGGATTAATGGATGCAGCAGCTATGGTTTCTTTGGCACGCAACTGGACCACAGTGCCAGCACAACACATTTGTGAGATTCGTTCCTATGAGCACAATAGGTGAGATTTTAAAATTCTTCTCATTCTTAAGATTAATTCTTCAAAGTAATTTAAAATAGCAATTAAATCTTGAGGTTCAAGACTGTAGATTTTAGTTCATTATAGTGTCAGGTAAATCTTGAGGTTCAAGACTGTAGATTTTATTTGACTATAGTGTCAGGTAAATCTTGAGGTTCAAGACTCTAGATTTTATTTGACTAGTGTCAGGTAAATCTTAAGGTTCAAGACTCTAGATTTTATTTGACTATAGTGTCAGGTAAATCTTGAGGTTCAAGACTGTAGATTTTATTTGACTATAGTGTCAGGTAAATCTTGAGGTTCAAGACTGTAGATTTTATTTGACTATAGTGTCAGGTAAATCTTGAGGTTCAAGACTCTAGATTTTATTTGACTATAGTGTCAGGTAAATCTTGAGGTTCAAGACTCTAGATGTATTTTGGTAGGATCATGTGTCTCTCCCATGTATTTTGGTAGGATCGTGTGTCTCTCCCATGTATTTTGGTAGGGTCATGTTTTTTTTACTGTCTACCTGTCCACAGCCGGCCTATACCACAGAATGGAAGAATGTCTGTCAACCTTTATACAGATGGCTGTGAAGGGACTCAAAACCATGTCAAGTATTTGGAGCACGTACAAGCCCGCATAACAATGACATCAATACGTAGGGGAGAAACTCGTATATTTCTGACATCCCCATCATCAACAGTCTCCACACTGTTGGCAAGGCGAACACGGGATCAATCGCGTGAAGGCTTTAACAACTGGGCTTTTATGACAACCCACAACTGGGGAGAACCTGCCAAAGGACAGTGGAAGCTTGAGATAGAAACTAGTGCTGTCAGTAGTAAGTTCTTTGCTACCGTTTTTTTACTCAATTGTCACTTCATATTCTCGTCACAAAGCACTCGTGTGATTAATTCTAGGAAGTAAGAAGCTTTTACTTCCAATGTTACACTTTGAATAGTTACTTTTTAATTTTAAAGTAAATTACTGAATTGGAATTTATGTTTTTAATTCCCATAGACAATAATTTGACTCTGTATGTTAGAGTACATTTTTCCTAGAATCAATCACTGAGTTAATTTACAGCTTAAGTTACTTATGGTGAAATAGTTACATTTTTATGTCTACTTGATGTATGTACACAACTGCACACCCTGTATTTGACTCAATGGATTTATTTTGTTCCTTAGAAACTCCTAGTGCATTCTTAATGTGTTTTTTATTGTTTGCCATTGTTTACTACAAAAATTTCATAATTCTTACTGTTGGCTATGTTATTACACTATTTGTAACTTATGTTTAATTACATAACTTGTCAGAAATTGTAGATTAGAAAGTATAATTTTATAATTTTTTACTGTTAGATCTTTAAAAATAATTCAAATCATTTCAGTTAAATACTTCAATAAAATTTGAATGCTAATATAGAAGTGATGAGGCTCATTTGAATATTTTTAAGACTGAAAAGACCAGTGACACTGTGGATAATACATTTTAAAAAGTTCTATGGAGAATTTATTTTTAATACTGTGTGCATGTTCCTAATACTTGTTTTTCATCTAATATTCTAGCATAAAAAGATAAAATAATATTTATATTTTTAGTTCTCTGCATGTCCCTAGTCATACTAACATGTGTTGTAAACAGTGTTGGCAGTATTCTTGATACATCTGGGAGGGTATCACAGATACCCTCCCAGAGAATATATATATAGTTATATGTTTAAATATATGCCAAATATGCGTGTATGAATGTGTCTAAGCATGTGAGTATGTATTTTTATCTCTGTTTTTTTTTTCTGAATGTATTTAAAATTTTTGAAGCTACCCACTTTTGGGCTGAACTATGATCTGTATTTTTAATGCATAGGAACATGAGTTCTAAAGCAACCAAAGATATTTATCCAACGTTTAAATCCCTTGGAAGCTCTTTAACTTTTATGGATATACTATATTTTTAATTATAACTGGCGTACCCATCCCCGGGCGTTGCCAAGAGGATAGAAGAAAGTATGGCGTAATATTTTAAGAGGGTTTCATCATTGCGTTACTAATCATATATTCTTAGACGTGTGACCTTGTTTTCTAAAATGCAAACAATATCTGCAAGAGAAAGTATGACATAATATTTTAAGAGGGTTTCATCATTGCGTTACTAATCATATATTCTTAAAGTGTGACCTTATTTAAATGTAAACATTGCCTATGCTTGGATCATATTTATCAGGGCATTGGTTTACGTATGTAAACATTGCCTACGCTTGGATCATATTTATCACGGCATTGGTTTACCTACGTAACATTGCCTACGCTTGGATCATATTTATCAAAAAAGTTTCATGGCACTCGGATGAAGGGTGTCAAACCGCATCTGACTTTTATTTTTTATATGTTGTATATATAGAAAAATTGCACCTTTCTGCGGCGCCACCCTTGCGAAATTAAAAGAGATTTTTTTGCAGAAACCTCCTCTGGAGTGTTCATATCAACTACACAAAGTTTTATGGCTATCGGATGAATGGTGTCAAACGGTAGTCGACTTTTATTTTTGTATACCATATATAGAGAAAAAACAAATTGTGCCCTACTGTGGCGCCATCCTTGCGAATTTGGAAAAATTTTCTACAGAAACCTCGTCAGGAATATTCTCAACAACTTCCCAAAGTTTCATGGCGATGTGATGTAAGGTGTAGTAATGCATAAAGGACAGACACTCATACATTGCTTTATATATATATAGATAGATAGAAAGATAGATTAATGTTACCTCTATCCATTTGAGCTTTTTAAAAATACCAAATGTTAGGACGAAACAGATTAATGACAAAAATTAATTGTTTCAAAATGTTAACCATTTTCCTGCAGACAAAAATGTAACAATCTTTAAGCCAACCAGTTCTACTTTTGCTTGCTTTGTTTCCATTATTCAATTTCGTCTCTTTATTTATCTACAATGGATTAATACATTTCAAAAAGTTATGTTATGTTGAAACATGCAATTTTACATAATAGGTTTTTAAAATATTTTCATTTAACTAATTAGGTACTAAAAGTATTTCTGACAAGGAAACAAAAGTGTTAAAAGCTGTGCACTGATTTTTAGCCGAACATCACACATGAAATGATTTAGCTTAGTGATGCAGTGAACATGTATTTAAAAAAGTATCTAATACTTCTCATTTAAAATTTTGTTTAAAATGTTATGAAGGTTCTAGATTAAAGAAGTTGGTGGATAGTGTATTTTGTGTTGATCAGTTACATTATACACTGTTTGTTCTGTGAAAGTTAAAATTGGTGTCGTCCACCGTTTGCCGTCAACTTTTGTCTAATGGCACCAATTTGTGCAAACATTATATTAATCCACCTCAAAAAAGCAGTTATTAATTCAAGTGGAAAAGCCACTCTTTAGGTAATAAATTAATGTGGTGTCACCCCCACCCCTGTAGTTGATTGACATAAGTGATTTTGCTAAGCCTTCAGTTGGTGTCACTCTCCTACCTGTATCAATCTGTTCTTAAAAGACCATTTAGCTCTAATTAATCATTAAATCATTAAATAAATCATTACATTTTTCTTCAAATATTTTGCTATTTTCTGATTTGGTGTCACCCCCTAAATGGTGTCCTCCAGTAACCTCTGGTTATGCAAATTTGGCCTAGCTAATGTATTAATTACTTCATCCATAGTTCTAGATCTTTCTTTTATGTAGTACTTTAATGTAACATTATGCTATTCCAGATTTCTCAAAAAATATCATTTCCACCCATCCGATTTGTTTCAAAATTTTCACTTAGGTCAAAACATGATGATAATGCACTGTGGCATAAAATGTGAAATAATTAGATATTTATTTAACTTTTTAAAATTAATCAACATTCCATTTTTAATGTTCCAATTTTTCTTAATTATGCACACTTTGTTCACGTTAATTCAGTGCACAATTCTTTATCTACTTGCTTCAATACGATGTAAAAAATTAAAGTATTAAAAAAATATAAATTATAATTAATAAAAAAAAATATTTCTATAGCCCAATTGCAACCTCCCATGCTGGATTTCCAAAACACAAGTTTGTTTATAAGTGTATATTTATTAATCTTTTTTGTATTTTTGTTTGTTTGTCTGTTCTGCGAGATGGGAGCAATTGCACTATATACATTTGTAGAAACACCCCTTTAATTATAAAAGTTCATAACAAATATTTTCACAAAAATTAAGAACTTTCACAAGGAACTATAGTGACATCACTTGAAACAAATAGCAATTTATTGAAACTAAACTAAATTTATTCCGATAAACTAGATTTAAGGCCAATCCAAAATTAACTAGTTAAAAAGAATCTAAGTCGATCTTAATATTTTAAATAAATCTTTGATTTTTTTAGTAATGGAATCGGCTAAATAAGGATATAATTAGGATATAATTTAATTTAAAATAATATTCACATATTTTACTTTCATACACTGGCTAAAATAAAACAACTCAATTCATTATTACATTAGCTTTAATAATTAATTATATATTATTCATATGAGGGTTGAGCTCAGAAAATGTTATAGAAAGAGATAGATGTTTTTAAAAGACAAAAACTTGTAGGCTGAGGTATGACTTCTTTTTAGATAAGAATGATAAAGTTGCTATCAGGATTTGGTGGGACATGGGGCAGGTGAAGTAGGGTTCACCTGTTTCTCAGCATTTAAGGGGATGTGGTCAGACACAGCCGAAGTTGGTGTTTTTAAAAGACAAACATGTTGGCAATTGTTGTCTGAAGACTGACGTCTTTTTAAATATGGGGTCTGGCTTTTCATGACGATGTTGTGACAGTGGGGAAGGGAAAGATAAAAATCTTCAAACAAACGTGACATCATTTATGGATGACCCCCAAAACACACTGTTATCCAAGTATAATTTGTAGTCTATATAAGAATATAGTTTTTTTAAAGTTTAAGATTAATTAGTCTTTTGATTTTTGTTTAGTTTAATTAATAATAAAAATCTGAAAGCCAGCTAAATATTTTCACAATCAATTAAAAATATTCCATCAATAGTCTTCTGATATATTTCATCTTTAACGCATATTTTGTCTCTGAGATCTTATGTCCATGAAATATTTTTTATACCCTTGAGATATTTTGTCTGTTATATTTTGTATGAGATCATTGTCCCTGAGATAATTTATCCTGAGATGTTATGCCCTTCATTTATTTTTGTCTGAGATAATGTGTCAATGGACGCAATATAAGCTATGCTATTATATAATACACTAGATAAATGGCCCTTTGAGGGAGAAATTCAACTGGCGATAGGTTGCCTTTATCTCTAAACCAAAACCAAAATCACCACCTCAACTTCAAATTTAACCGGAAATGAAGAATGTAATTGAAAATGTATTTTATACAGAATCTGCGTGTTAACCGGATTTAACCTAAAATTTCAAGTACACCTTCCCCCCCACCCCCCCACCCCCTGAAAGAAACACAGGTTGCATTTGTAGATCAAACTGACTAAAGGTAGACCCTACTTTTATAGCCGCTAAACCTCAATCATGTGGGCAGATTTATTTCTGTCACTGGTAAAGGTACATTTTTTCTATATAAATTTTATTTCGTTCAGAGGGTAGTGGTAGACTATTTAGTGGGGGGGGGGGGGGGGTGAACAAACTCTGCATACAGACCACTTTTTAAGATTAGACAAATAATTTGGAGGCGATGTTAGTATTTATGTTGTGTACTTTTCCGGCTATAGAACTGTACATGTTTCGTTTTGAAAACTTCCTCTGTTCCTTGTGACGTCACAGTCTTTCACTCTGCATCTTTAAAATTTCTTTGTGTTTTCCCTAGAGTGTTACTGACACAGTGACACACAGAGTGACAGAATAGTGCAACTATTATTATAGACAAGTTAAATGGCCCATTGAGGGAGAAATACAACTGGCGCTTGGTTTATTGTGTTGTCTTTTTCTTTTAACTGAAACCAAAATCACAACCTCAACTTCAAATTTAACCGGAGACAAAAAATTCATTGAAAATTGATTTTTATCCAGAATCTGCATTTTAACTTTGATCTACACATAGTTACTGCACATTGATACTAAATATTGTCAGTCATACCCATAAACCTTGGTCGTAGTCCTACCTGTAAACCCTGCACCTAAGCTTAAACTTGACAAGTCTCATCTAGTGTTTCCTTCTGGCAACTCTACGGGCGTAACTATTATTATAACAGGTACAAGTTAGTGTTGTCTGTATCAGACATGTATGACTTAATGGTAGATCCACGTATATATCAGACATGTATGACTTAATGGTAGATCCCTGTATATATCAGACATGTATGACTTAATGGTAGATCCACGTATATATCAGACATGTATGACTTAATGGTAGATCCACGTATATATCAGACATGTATGACTTAATGGTAGATCCACGTATATATCAGACATGTATGACTTAATGGTAGATCCACGTATATATCAGACATGTATGACTTAATGGTAGATCCACATATATATCAGACATGTATGACTTAATGGTAGATCCACATATATATCAGACATGTATGACTTAATGGTAGATAATGCTAGATCCACTAATGTATCAGAAAAATTTCTAGTAAGAATTTTAAAAGCTGCATCATCAGCATAAAAGAATTAAATATAGAATGACTTTAAAATCAGTATAGTGCATTTGGTTTTACTTGCGTATTTTTTGTTAGCACTCAGAAAAGGAAGCAGGTTTGAATGAAATGTCAATACAAGTTCTTGATTTCTTCATGTTTTTCCTGGTCTTCTGAATTTCCTTTTCCTCCTGGTTATGTGTCATGTATTTGTCCTGGTTATGTGTCGTGTATTTGTCCTGGTTATGTGTCATGTATTTGTCCTGGTTATGTGTCGTGTATTTGTCCTGGTTATGTGTCATGTATTTGTCCTGGTTATGTGTCATGTATTTGTCCTGGTTATGTGTCGTGTATTTGTCCTGGTTGTGTCGTGTATTTGTCCTGGTTATGTGTCATGTATTTGTCCTGGTTATGTGTCATGTATTTGTCCTGGTTATGTGTCATGTATTTGTCCTGGTTATGTGTCATGTATTTGTCCTGGTTATGTGTCGTGTATTTGTCCTGGTTGTGTCGTGTATTTGTCCTGGTTATGTGTCATGTATTTGTCCTGGTTATGTGTCATGTATTTGTCCTGGTTATGTGTCATGTATTTGTCCTGGTTATGTGTCATATATTAGTCCTGGTTATGTGCCATGTATTTGTCCTGGTTATGTGCCATGTATTTGTCCTGGTTATGTGTCATATATTTGTCCTGGTTATGTGTCATATATTTGTCCTTGTTATGTGTGATGTATTTGTCCTGGTTATGTGTCATGTATTTGTCCTGGTTGTGTTGTGTATTTGTCCTGGTTGTGTTGTGTATTTGTCCTGGTTATGTGTCATGTATTTGTCCTGGTTATGTGTCATATATTTGTCCTGGTTATGTGTCATGTATTTGTCCTGGTTATGTGTTGTGTATTTGTCCTGGTTATGTGTCATGTATTTGTCCTGGTTATGTGTCATGTATTTGTCCTGGTTATGTGTCATGTATTTGTCCTGGTTATGTGTCATGTATTTGTCCTGGTTGTGTTTCATGTATTTGTCCTGGTTATGTGTCATGTATTTGTCCTGGTTATGTGTCATGTATTTGTCCTGGTTATGTGTCATGTATTTGTCCTGGTTATGTGTCATGTATTTCTCCTGGTTATGTGTCATCTATTTCTCCTGGTTATGTGCCATGTTTTTGATCTGATAACTTTTTGTGACAAGATTGTTTTTTGTTTGAACTATATATGCTGAGCAGTTTTTGTGGCATGCTAGAAGCTAATAGCATGAGTTTTGACAATCTTCTTCACTGGGTATTTACATGTTGTCTGTTCACATGGTAAGTTTATCATTTTATCAGACATTCTTTAGTTTGTATGCTTTGTTATTATTATTATTTCAAGTTTTATTTTCAAGAAAAATTAATTTTCATATATATATATATATGCCATTGCATTTTAATAGATCTATTCTTTTATGTAATAAATTTGCATATTTCCTAAACTGCTAAGCTCAAAAATGGCACCCATTCTTTTATAATAAAACTATTGGTCTATGCATACAATTTTTAATTCTCATATTTTTCTTATAAAACACTGATAATCTTGAAAATTACTTATTAACTCATATTTGAAGTTGTTCAAAGATGAAGTTTGTTTTTATTTAACTAAATTATTTGAAAAAGCTAAAAGATCATTTGACCGTCTTTGTATTGAAGCCATAACATTGTATCCTACTTTGATCTATTTATTTACCGTTTGCATTGAGAAGTTAGGGTTAACCAAATGTAATGAGTATTTAGTCGACTTAGAGCCTCCTAATGTAGCTGTATTAAGTATTATCAATGTTGTATTGTAGCCATGAACTAGCTGTTCAATATGTTCTGTCCTGTCCAGTGTCTCTATGACTTAATCTTCTTGTCTTTCTCTTTCTCTTTTCTTTTTTCAGTACGCAATATCAAGCTACGGGACTGGGTCCTGGTTCTATATGGCACCGACTCACCCCCACGAAAGAGCCCTACGTCAGTTCGTAGTCCACATTTTGACTATGGCCAATACTACCCTGAAAAGGCTCCAGAGAACAGGAACCTGCCTCCAGTTGATGAATATAACGTAGATAGTGAAGAAGATTATTATGAAAACCCACCAACAACAACAACTACCACAACTACAACCACCAGCAACTATTTTCAAAGGAATCATCATTTTTTCCAGCACACGGAGAAAACAAATCATCACAATATCCACGCGTCCACCAGTCAGCGTAAGAATAAGGATAACTATTTTTGGGATGCCCCATCTTATGTTACTAACTATGCACCTTTGCCTGACTCACAGCATCGTCAAAGTCACCCAGAGCATACTTGCATATATGAAACACTAGCCAAAAAGTCCAACTTATCCTCTACTCAGTACATGCGCAAGAAACGTCCCCAACTAACCCCAGGCAAGAAAGCTTATTAACAATATTTCATCCAACTTTTTTATCAACTATCTAGATTACATGTTGTCACTCACTTCTCAGTGTTTAGAATCCCTTCATATCATCAGATATTTAACCCTGGCTTATTGTTGTTACCATTTCATTGCCTAACCCACCCAATATTAGTTTGATTGCCTAACCCACCCAATATTAGTTTGATTGCCTAACCCACCCAATATTAGTTTGATTGCTTTTTTCTGTTATTTTCTCTCTTTTAAGCACTATATACTATTTTGCTTCAAATTTTTAGCTTTTAAAAACTAATTGAAAACCAAAATGTAATTTCTATTAAATGAATTTGAACTCTCATAGTTTACACTGGGATTTTTAAAAATTCATTTTGCAAAAAAGGAAATTACAGAGAAACTTCAGTGGAAAATTGTGAATTATTTTAAAAGTAAATTTAACTTTAAAAAAACTTTAACAATGCTTTTTTCCCAGATATTAGTACATTGCAAAAGTATAAGAGTTTGTGAGTAACTTATCACAGAATGTCAGGCGAAAAATTCCTTGTTATAATATCTGTCCATGTTCTTCCATTTTCTTTATTTTTTTAGCATGATTAAGCATGAACTGGATATACACAATTGAAATTTTTTTTTTTCATTTACGTTATTTTATAATTATTGTTATTTGATGAATGAAGCAATGTTTAGTAATAAAATGGATTCCTCAGTTGTAAGAGGCAAGTGTACTGTAGCATTGTTCGACCAGGGGAATGGAGCTCTCCAAAAGTACCACATTGTCTTCCACAGCTTTTATACAACATACAAAAAAAACAACCTTGTTGCAGCTTGTATTCTAGTTTATTGTACTCATAAGCTAATCATTGATTAAATTTATGTTAATTATTTTCACTCACATTGCATAGATTCATTAATTTATGCATTGGAGAAAATGTACATGGCATTTTTTAACTTTTTGTTAAATCATCATACGCTGTATGCAGTCGAATTATTACCTAGATATCCTCATCATATGATGTATACAGTTGAATCTTTCTATTTTTTACCTAGATATCCTTATCATATGATGTATACAGTTGAATCTTTCTATTTTTTATTTAGATTTCCTTATCATATGATGTATACAGTTGAATCTTTCTATTTTTTATTTAGATCTCCTTATCATATGATGTATACAGCTGAATCTTCCTATGTTTTACCTACATATCCAGATTTGTTTTATCACACACAAAAAACATTTTTCACACCAGATGTGTTTTATTTCTCATATCATTAGAAAATGTCTGACTCCTTATAACACAATGATGACCTATTGTGTTTGTACTTTAAAATATTTGACAGTCCATACTGTAGCAAATTTTAAGGTCCTTTGTTTATAATGACTGACAAAATGCACAATGTAATTGACTCTAATACTGCTGAATTAGTTGTTGCCATTCAACCAAAAACAAACAGTACTATTTCATACAATAAAAAGTAAGTTGTCTAAAGAGTTGACTATAAAGAGGTGTTTCCAAAAATGTCCTTTGTTGTTCTCATTGTTTATATTTTGATTCCCTGTCCAGCATCCATGTTTAGGTATTAGTTGACATCTTTTTTATGTTGGACGTAGAAATAAGCAACCATTGGTTTTGTTTTTAAAATCTCTGAACAAATTTTTACTTGTGTATATTTCAGTAATTTACATTTGTTAGGTTTTAAATATTTTTTTTAAATTTTATTAAAAACATGAACATAAATGTTTCTGAGCTGATAGGTGTTCATGTGATATGTAGTTATTTCTTTAAATAGTTTTTAAAATGTTGTTCTTCTATATTCATTGTGTTTGCTACCTTTTATACAAATTTTCCAAACAAACTAAATATCTGAAGCTAATATAGACTACTAAACAATGGAACTGAGAAGGATATATGTAGTATTTTCTGTACTAACACCATAACCCTATGCTGTTCTTTTTTTTGTACTTACAGCTGAACTTAAAGAGTGGACACTGGTGATGATGGGAACATCTACTCACAATATGAAGCGCAATCATTCTCAAGTTGGCAATAACTTTTCCTTTCTCTGTGCGGGAGTCATGTCTAATGGCATTTGTATAGGTCGGTGTTTCATGGCACTTGTCTTAGTATTTCTATTTAATGTTAGATAGTAGTGTAGCCGCCCATTCTTTCAGTATTCAGTGTCTCATCATTCTACAGATTTCAGTCTTTGGTATCAATCTTTGTTAAATGAACATTTGCAGCAGTTGCAGCAATTAATTAAAATTGGAGGGATGAAAAGAGGAAGATATGTTTACCATTAGCATTTTGTAAAAAGAAAATGTATATTTTGTGTCCATTTTCCAGAAATACATTTTTGTCACAATATTTAGAATGTATATGTGCATTGTAGAGGGTTATCTTTGTCAGTGTATGATAATCTATTTTCTCATTCCCTCTGTCAATGCTGTTTATTTTACCACTCTGTCTATTTTCTCATTCCCTCTGTCAATGCTATGTTTATTTTACCACTCTGTCTATTTTCTCATTCCCTCTGTCAATGCTGTTTATTTTACCACTCTGTCTATTTTCTCATTCCCTCTGTCAATGCTATGTTTATTTTACCACTCTGTCTATTTTCTCATTCCCTCTGTCAATGCTATGTTTATATTACCACTCTGTCTATTTTCTCATTCCCTCTGTCAATGCTATGTTTATTTTACCTCTGTCTATTTTCTCATTCCCTCTGTCAATGCTGTTTATTTTACCACTCTGTCTATTTTCCCATTCCCTCTGTCAAGGCTTTGTTTATTTTACCACATTAGCTTAAATTATTAAGAATGAAATTAACACCCCATTTTTAGTTTATGTTTCATTTTTTTACATGATTAAAAAAAAATGAGGACTGATTTGATTGTAGTGGATAGTTGGATGTACAAAGTGGGAAGATGAAAGGATTATGATCATATCAGATGTTTGTAGCACACTTTATCATATTTACAACAATAGATAATTTTGTTTCTAATATAAGTTCCGCTAGAACTTGTACAAAATTCTGTTTCATTCTTCTCACCATTGACAGATTTCATTAAACTTATCACAAAATTAGCATTCTCAGTAAACTTACAACATGGTGTAACATATGTATAAGTAACTCATATGATGTTTGCTTACATGTCATAATTAGAAACATTTTTATTTGCAGTTACTCTAATGGCATATTTAATGTTTCTAGTTACAATAATGAAGTATTTAAAGAATCTATGAGTATAAGAGTGAAGAGAGAATAACTATATGTTAATGCAGTTGTTTAAAAACAGTTTCTGAGTGACTAAACTTGATGTGTGTATCACTGATATGTGTATCACTGATATATGTATCACTGATATGTGTATCACTGATATATGTATCACTGATATGTGTATCACTGATATATGTATCACTGATATATGTATCACTGATATGTGTATCACTGATATGTGTATCACTGGGGAGCCGGACGTTTTCCCGAAAGACACTTGCCCGAATGCCGTTTGCCCGAAGGCCGATTTCCCGAATGGACATTTGCCCGAATGCGACAAATGCCCGAATGGACACTTGCCCGAATGCGACAAACGCCCGAATGGACACTTGCCCGAATGCGACAAATGCCCGAATGGACACTTGCCCGAATGCGACAAATGCCCGAATGGACACTTGCCCGAATGGGACAAATGCCCGAATGGACACTTGCCCGAATGCGACAAATGCCCGAATGCCACTTGCCCGAAGGCCGTTTGCCCGAAAAATGTAAATATTAGATAATAAATATTTTTTCTAAAAAGACATTCTTTAATCAATTTAAGTTTGAAATTTTGATTGTTAACACAATTCTAAGCATAAAACAAAGTTGTTTATATTTTTAAATTTAGCTTTTTTTTTCAAAACTGAGAAAGTACAGTAAGAAAAACTTTATTCTTTAATAAATGTAAGGTGACGTTGGCGGCGGTGTTCTAACATTCTTTTGATGAATGTTTTGAACACCTTGTTTAGCCGACGTGTTGCGGTGGTTATATAACTTTTATGACACGGCGTAGGCTGCGCGGCATCTCGCAACATTGAACAGAGGCGCGTTTGTTTGTTTATCTTATTATTCTTAACTTGTGTGGTGATCATTTAACAAAAGAATGAGGCGAGGTCTAGGTGGCAACTTAAAAACTAAACGTAGTCAAATATGTTTGATCTCCATTTAATGCACCTTGTTAAGACAATGTGTTGAAGCGATTACTTAATAAAGAAAGCAAAACTCATTTTAAAATCCAGAGATGAATGAAAATTGTATTTTTGTCTAATTTCATATATGGGAGAGAAAGTATGTTTCTACACTTTTTAAATATCAAATACAAATTAATTTAAAATGTCTGCGTGGTAATATACAATATTATTTTTTTCACTTTCTTTTTGCGTAGATGTGTTTTGTTTACCAACATTTTAAATTTAAATTGATTACGAATGATTATTAAGTAATATATAATGTTAACATTTTTCGGGCAAACGGCCTTCGGGCAAGTGGCATTCGGGCATTTGTCGCATTCGGGCAAGTGTCCATTCGGGCATTTGTCCCATTCGGGCAAGTGTCCATTCGGGCATTTGTCGCATTCGGGCAAGTGTCCATTCGGGCATTTGTCGCATTCGGGCAAGTGTCCATTCGGGCGTTTGTCGCATTCGGGCAAGTGTCCATTCGGGCATTTGTCGCATTCGGGCAAGTGTCCATTCGGGAAATCGGCCTTCGGGCAAACGGCATTCGGGCAAGTGTCTTTCGGGAATTTGTCGTAGACCCGTATCACTGATATGTGTATCACTGATATGTGTATCACTGATATGTTTATCACTGATTTGTGTATCAATGTTTATTGCACTTATAAAACCTGAGTGTTAATGTATATCAATTGTATTAAATGGTATGTCATATTTATTTCTTGTTTATAAGATGTTTATCTATAAAACAATTCACACTAGTTGAATACATGACCAACTGAAACAACTCACACTAGTTGAATACCTGACCAACTGAAACAACTCACACTAGTTGAATACCTGACCAACTGAAACAACTCACACTAGTTGAATACCTGACCAACTGAAACAACTCACACTAGTTGGATACCTGACCAAATGAAACAACTCACACTAGTTGAATACCTGACCAACTGAAACAACTCACACTAGTTGAATACCTGACCAAATGAAACAACTCACACTAGTTGAATACCTGACCAACTGAAACAACTCACACTAGTTGGATACCTGACCAACTGAAACAACTCACACTAGTTGAATACCTGACCAACTGAAACAACTCACACTAGTTGAATACCTGACCAAATGAAACAACTCACACTAGTTGAATACCTGACCAACTGAAACAACTCACACTAGTTGGATACCTGACCAAATGAAACAACTCACACTAGTTGAATACCTGACCAACTGAAACAACTCACACTAGTTGAATACCTGACCAACTGAAACAACTCACACTAGTTGAATACCTGACCAAATGAAACAACTCACACTAGTTGAATACCTGACCAAATGAAACAACTCACACTAGTTGAATACCTGACCAAATGAAACAACTCACACTAGTTGAATACCTGACCAAATGAAACAACTCACACTAGTTGAATACCTGACCAAATGAAACAACTCACACTAGTTGAATACCTGACCAAATGAAACAACTCACACTAGTTGAATACCTGACCAAATGAAACAACTCACACTAGTTGAATACCTGACCAACTGAAACAACTCACACTAGTTGAATACCTGACCAATTGAAACAACTCACACTAGTTGAATACCTGACCAACTGAAATGTTTTTGTTGACAATTCATGTCTTAAGATAAAAATGACTCTTCAAAAGTGTTATAAACATGTTATTTGAGCAAAGTAGAAATTTGTGAAAAGCCATTAAAGAAAACATGTTAGTGTCTGTTGTTTGATGAGAGCTTCATTCTATTTTGGCATGGTTTTCAACTGTTAGCTGTCTTTAGGCTTTACTTTAATATTATTAACCATTTACTTACCTTAATAGTTTTCCAATTAAATTTTCGTTTTTGAGCTTTTAAAGTTTTTTTTTCCCTTTTTATATTATTTATTATACAAAAAAAACAAATAAATTGAAGAGTAGTAAAGGGCAGTGAATTCTAAAATATAGTTTATTTTTATTTGATAGTTCAATTCTAAAAAGTAAATTTTATTTTGATAGTTTAATTCTTAAAAGTAAATTTTATTTTGATAGTTAAATTCTAAAAAGTAAATTTTATTTTGATAGTTTAATTCTAAAAGTAAGTCTTATTTTGATAGTTAAATTCTAAAAAGTAAATTTTATTTTGATAGTTTAATTCTCAAAAGTAAGTCTAATTTTTATAGTTTTATAACTTTTAGAATAGAATAGTTTTTTTTTACATAAACAATCCTGCTATTGCATGATGTAAATGTAATCTATTTTTGTAGAATGCAAGCCTGGCTTCTTTAAAATGGGAGAAACGTGTCTATCAGACTGCCCTCAGCATTATTACGGCTATGTCCAAGCAGTACAGCTGGCTGGTCCAAACAGATCCAACTACTCCAAATCTGTCTTACATACTCATACGCAAGTAAGTGCTAGACCAGGGGTCTGGTTTGTGTTTGTCACTGTCTTACATACTCATACGCAAGTAAGTGCTAGACCAGGGGTCTGGTTTGTGTTTGTCACTGTCTTACATACTCATACACAAGTAAGTGGTAGACCAGGGGTCTGGTTTGTGTTTGTCACTGTCTTACATACTCATACGCAAGTAAGTGCTAGACCAGGGGTCTGGTTTGTGTTTGTCACTGTCTTACATACCCATACGCAAGTAAGTGCTAGACCAGGGGTTTGGTTTGTGTTTGTCACTGTCTTACATACTCATACACAAGTAAGTGCTAGACCAGGGGTTTGGTTTGTGTTTGTCACTGTCTTACATACTCATACACAAGTAAGTGCTAGACCAGGGGTTTGGTTTGCGTTAGTCACTCTTGGTATTCTGTACATTACTTTTGTATATTTATGCTGTATACATGTTACACACAGTTACGAACTCATTTTACCAACATTAATTTTTAACTGTAAAATACATATATAGATTTTGACCCATTTCAGATTAGCTAGCTGGTTATTAAACAAAAAACAAGTTTTCACTTTCTGTATACATTTATATACTTTATATACAAAAACATTATTTAAAATAAAATTTCTACTTTTAAAGAATTTTGTTCTATAACATGCATATAAAACATATACTCTCCCAAATGACCTTGATTAGATACACTATTTACATTTTTAATTCTTATACATTTTGTATGTACATTTTTTTTTTTAATTTTAGGGTTTAACTTAGGGGTTGTTTTTTTTTGGCCTTTAGTTTTTTAGTATCAAATAGTCAACATATTATTTCAGATCTAGTCTTGTCTGACTTGTAAATCTTTGTATTCAGGGTGTGTGCAAGCCTTGTCTTGTCTGACTTGTAAATCTTTGTATTCAGGGTGTGTGCAAGCCTTGTCTTGTCTGACTTGTAAATCTTTGTATTCAGGGTGTGTGCAAGCCTTGTCTTGTCTGACTTGTAAATCTTTGTATTCAGGAGTGTGCAAGCCTTGCCATGAGTCTTGTCTGACTTGTAAATCTTTGTATTCAGGGTGTGTGCAAGCCTTGTCTTGTCTGACTTGTAAATCTTTGTATTCAGGGTGTGTGCAAGCCTTGCCATGAGTCTTGTCTGACTTGTAAATCTTTGTATTCAGGGTGTGTGCAAGCCTTGTCTTGTCTGACTTGTAAATCTTTGTATTCAGGGTGTGTGCAAGCCTTGCCATGAGTCTTGTCTGACTTGTAAATCTTTGTATTCAGGGTGTATGCAAGCCTTGCCATGTCTGACTTGTAAATCTTTGTATTCAGGGTGTGTGCAAGCCTTGCCATGAGTCTTGTCTGACTTGTAAATCTTTGTATTCAGGGTGTGTGCAAGCCTTGCCATGTCTGACTTGTAAATCTTTGTATTCAGGGTGTGTGCAAGCCTTGCCATGAGTCTTGTCTGACTTGTAAATCTTTGTATTCAGGGTGTGTGCAAGCCTTGTCTTGTCTGACTTGTAAATCTTTGTATTCAGGGTGTGTGCAAGCCTTGCCATGAGTCTTGTCTGACTTGTAAATCTTTGTATTCAGGGTGTGTGCAAGCCTTGCCTTGTCTGACTTGTAAATCTTTGTATTCAGGGTGTGTGCAAGCCTTGCCATGAGTCTTGTCTGACTTGTAAATCTTTGTATTCAGGGTGTGTGCAAGCCATGCCATGAGTCTTGTCTGACTTGTAAATCTTTGTATTCAGGGTGTGTGCAAGCCTTGTCTTGTCTGACTTGTAAATCTTTGTATTCATGGTGTGTGCAAGCCTTGAGTCTTGTCTGACTTGTAAATCTTTGTATTCAGGGTGTGTGCAAGCCTTGCCATGTCTTGTCTGACTTGTAAATCTTTGTATTCAGGGTGTGTGCAAGCCTTGAGTCTTGTCTGACTTGTAAATCTTTGTATTCAGGGTGTGTGCAAGCCTTGTCTTGTCTGACTTGTAAATCTTTGTATTCAGGGTGTGTGCAAGCCTTGCCATGAGTCTTGTCTGACTTGTAAATCTTTGTATTCAGGGTGTGTGCAAGCCTTGCCATGAGTCTTGTCTGACTTGTAAATCTTTGTATTCAGGGTGTGTGCAAGCCTTGTCTTGTCTGACTTGTAAATCTTTGTATTCAGGGTGTGTGCAAGCCTTGCCATGAGTCTTGTCTGACTTGTAAATCTTTGTATTCAGGGTGTGTGCAAGCCATGTCTTGTCTGACTTGTAAATCTTTGTATTCAGGGTGTGTGCAAGCCTTGCCATGAGTCTTGTCTGACTTGTAAATCTTTGTATTCAGGGTGTGTGCAAGCCTTGCCATGAGTCTTGTCTGACTTGTAAATCTTTGTATTCAGGGTGTGTGCAAGCCTTGTCTTGTCTGACTTGTAAATCTTTGTATTCAGGGTGTGTGCAAGCCTTGCCATGAGTCTTGTCTGACTTGTAAATCTTTGTATTCAGGGTGTGTGCAAGCCTTGTCTTGTCTGACTTGTAAATCTTTGTATTCATGGTGTGTGCAAGCCTTGTCTTGTCTGACTTGTAAATCTTTGTATTCAGGGTGTGTGCAAGCCTTGCCATGTCTTGTCTGACTTGTAAATCTTTGTATTCATGGTGTGTGCAAGCCTTGAGTCTTGTCTGACTTGTAAATCTTTGTATTCAGGGTGTGTGCAAGCCTTGCCTTGTCTGACTTGTAAATCTTTGTATTCATGGTGTGTGCAAGCCTTGTCTTGTCTGACTTGTAAATCTTTGTATTCAGGGTGTGTGCAAGCCTTGTCTTGCCTGACTTGTAAATCTTTGTATTCAGGGTGTGTGCAAGCCTTGTCTTGTCTGACTTGTAAATCTTTGTATTCAGGGTGTGTGCAAGCCTTGTCTTGTCTGACTTGTAAATCTTTGTATTCAGGGTGTGTGCAAGCCTTGTCTTGTCTGACTTGTAAATCTTTGTATTCAGGGTGTGTGCAAGCCTTGTCTTGTCTGACTTGTAAATCTTTGTATTCAGGGTGTGTGCAAGCCTTGCCATGAGTCTTGTCTGACTTGTAAATCTTTGTATTCAGGGTGTGTGCAAGCCTTGCCATGTCTGACTTGTAAATCTTTGTATTCAGGGTGTGTGCAAGCCTTGTCTTGTCTGACTTGTAAATCTTTGTATTCAGGGTGTGTGCAAGCCTTGCCATGAGTCTTGTCTGACTTGTAAATCTTTGTATTCAGGGTGTGTGCAAGCCTTGCCATGAGTCTTGTCTGACTTGTAAATCTTTGTATTCAGGGTGTGTGCAAGCCTTGTCTTGTCTGACTTGTAAATCTTTGTATTCAGGGTGTGTGCAAGCCTTGCCATGAGTCTTGTCTGACTTGTAAATCTTTGTATTCAGGGTGTGTGCAAGCCTTGTCTTGTCTGACTTGTAAATCTTTGTATTCAGGGTGTGTGCAAGCCTTGCCATGAGTCTTGTCTGACTTGTAAATCTTTGTATTCAGGGTGTGTGCAAGCCATGTCTTGTCTGACTTGTACATCTTTGTATTCAGGGTGTGTGCAAGCCTTGTCTTGTCTGACTTGTAAATCTTTGTATTCAGGGTGTGTGCAAGCCTTGTCTTGTCTGACTTGTAAATCTTTGTATTCAGGGTGTGTGCAAGCCTTGTCTTGTCTGACTTGTAAATCTTTGTATTCAGGGTGTGTGCAAGCCTTGCCATGAGTCTTGTCTGACTTGTAAATCTTTGTATTCAGGGTGTGTGCAAGCCTTGCCATGAGTCTTGTCTGACTTGTAAGGGCTCTATGGCCAGTGATTGCTTCCAATGTGCCTCCGGGTTTGAGTGGAGAGGAAATAAGCAATGTGAGAAGAAGATGATCTGGGACTTGCTGGACCCTGATGTGATGAAACATTTAGCATGGGCCATTATCCTTTGTATTGCTGCTATTTTGTTATTTAGGTCAGTTGTATAAAGCTTATTTATAGAATAACATGCAATTTCATTCTTGTTTGTCTTTTCTGCTAATTAAACTGGAATTTATGTTGTTAAAGCCTTAAACTATTGAATATAATGCTCTTCATCTGTTGTTTTGTTGTTGTTTTTTGCAGTGTTATTTTTGGTATTTTACAAGCCAGAGAGAGGGGCCGCCTATGCTGGAAAAGTAAACCCAATTATGTGCCAGACTGGGGCAAAGGTCACTATGATGGAGTCACACCAAACTTTGCATTGCATGACAGTGATAATGAAGCTGAATTCTCTCCCCCTGCCAAAACTCAGACACTTTTCCCAGCAAGTTTGGGCTTCAAACATCACCATTGTCATACTAGAGTTGGCCAAAATGTTTGACACAACTAGAGTTGGCCAAAATGTTTGACACAACTAGAGTTGGCCAAAATGTTTGACACAACTAGAGTTGGCCAAAATGTTTGACACAACTAGAGTTGGCCAAAATGTTTGACACAACTAGAGTTGGCCAAAATGTTCAACAAATTTGGCTGTCCGGCATGTGCTATACAAAGCTAGCTGAAAAAGTCAGTGCTCAAGTGAACCTTTCACAAAAAACTCTCACTATTCAACTGCTAGTTTAGTTTCTGCATGCCTTTTAAGAATATTAATTATAGGAAAAATTGTTGTTATAACCCATGAAGTGATTCAAATTTTCTTTGGTGGATTCCGAAAAAATTGTATAGTTAGGTAAACATCAAAACTGGGTGGACTCGGGGGGGGGGGGGATTCTTAAGTTAGGTACACATTAGAGCCAGGTGGACTTAGTGTGGGCATTCTTATGTTAGAGCTGGGTGGACATTCTATGGTTAGGTACACAACAGAGCTGGGTGGACATTCTATAGTTAGGTACACAACAGAGCTGGGTGGACATTCTATAGTTAGGTACACAACAGAGCTGGGTGGACATTCTATAGTTAGGTACACAACAGAGCTGGAAGACTTGTAATGTTTACTGAGTAGGAAGACTTGTAATGTTTACTGAGTAGGAAGACTTGTAATGTTTACTGAGTTGGAAGACTTGTAATGTTTACTGAGTAGGAAGACTTGTAATGTTTACTGAGTAGGAAGACTTGTAATGTTTACTGAGTAGGAAGACTTGTAATGTTTTCTGAGTAGGAAGACTTGTAATGTTTACTGAGTAGGAAGACTTGTAATGTTTACTGAGTAGGAAGACTTGTAATGTTTACTGAGTAGGAAGACTTGTAATGTTTTCTGAGTAGGAAGACTTGTAATGTTTACTGAGTAGGAAGACTTGTAATGTTTACTGAGTAGGAAGACTTGTAATGTTTACTGAGTAGGAAGACTTGTAATGTTTACTGAGTAGGAAGACTTGTAATGTTTACTGAGTAGGAAGACTTGTAATGTTTACTGAGTAGGAAGACTTGTAATGTTTACTGAGTTGGAAGACTTGTAATGTTTACTGAGTAGGAAGACTTGTAATGTTTACTGAGTAGGAAGACTTGTAATGTTTACTGAGTTGGAAGACTTGTAATGTTTACTGAGTAGGAAGACTTGTAATGTTTACTGAGTAGGAAGACTTGTAATGTTTACTGAGTAGGAAGACTTGTAATGTTTACTGAGTAGGAAGACTTGTAATGTTTACTGAGTAGGAAGACTTGTAATGTTTACTGAGTTGGAAGACTTGTAATGTTTACTGAGTAGGAAGACTTGTAATGTTTACTGAGTAGGAAGACTTGTAATGTTTACTGAGTAGGAAGACTTGTAATGTTTACTGAGTTGGAAGACTTGTAATGTTTACTGAGTAGGAAGACTTGTAATGTTTACTGAGTAGGAAGACTTGTAATGTTTACTGAGTAGGAAGACTTGTAATGTTTACTGAGTAGGAAGACTTGTAATGTTTACTGAGTTGGAAGACTTGTAATGTTTACTGAGTAGGAAGACTTGTAATGTTTACTGAGTAGGAAGACTTGTAATGTTTACTGAGTAGGAAGACTTGTAATGTTTACTGAGTTGGAAGACTTGTAATGTTTACTGAGTAGGAAGACTTGTAATGTTTACTGAGTAGGAAGACTTGTAATGTTTACTGAGTAGGAAGACTTGTAATGTTTACTTTTTAAAACTCAATAAAACAACACACATTATGCTGAGGGTTTACATAAAAATTTAAATTGGATAATTAAGTCTGTTTTTGAAAGAATTGATTAGTACTACTAGAATGTAATAAGGGAAAAGATTTGGATCAACTTGAGCATGTGTGGCTGCTGGCTTTGTGCTAGCACAGTCTTGGTGTGCTCCAGCTTTAACCATTTACTGCCATTCTTTGGTTGATTCACGACCAAGTCAGCCCATGTTTAGTGGCCTTTTATTCATTCTATTCGTATTTTTGTACAGCTTGCTGCCATCTAAGTATCATCATGTAACACAAATATGTTTTAGTCTCATCACAATTAGAATTGCAAAATTACATTTACATGTTTTAAAGCTCTTTCATTATTAAATGGAAACAATGAAATTGTCCTTCATGTTTAATTTTTTTTAGACCCATTGTTTTCAATAATTGTTAGAAACATGAATGAAAACAACATGCTAATAATTTTAGAAATGTTTTCACATTAAGGCTGAATATTTGTTGTGACATTAAATGTTCAATCTATGAAAGGAAAATCCTAACTTGAAATTTTTTTTTTTTAATTATATCAATAGTTTAGATATATCATAGCAGCTGATCAGGAACTAAGCGCCTGATTACATTGTTTTTCACAAGTAAATTATAAAATTAATTTCTTGCCTTAATTTCTGGATGTTATGAATGAAAGTTTAGCTCATATCCAGCTCTATAAGAGTGTGATTAATTCTGACAGTGTGGCAATTGTCAAACAACTGAAGGAAAAGTATGCATATTTAAATCTCTACTTTTTTATGCAAAAGGTCTTTTCACATTGTTGATAGGGCTAACTTAATCGCAGCAGAGTTTAATAAGAAAAGAAACCTTAAAAGACAAAGATCAGAAATATTTTCTAAAAGGCTATATTTATTTATACATTGATTTTGTTGTTAATTCTTCAGCAAAATTACTTCGATCTTTTTTTTTTTTTCTAAAGCTAATTTAGCTTAACATTTATTTAACAAATGTTTGAACTATTTTTAAGAGATGAGCAAGTGAATGTGTCAATTAGAGTACCTTAACTTATGCTGTACTGCTGCAAAAGCCACTTCATATCTCATGCTTAACACATTTGCATTGGTTAAATTCAGTTAAAATCTATATATTAGGTGACATCTAGTCATTGATCTATGTAGTAAGTGGCATCAAGTCATTGATCTATATGTTTAGTGGCATCAAGTCATTGATCTATATAGTAGGTGGCAACAACTCATTGATCTATATTGTAGGTGGCATCAAGTCATTGGTCTAAATAGTAAGTGGCATCAAATCATTGATCTATGTGGCATCAAGTCTTTAATCAACCTTAAGTAATTTAAACATTTTAACCCAATAACTTTGACATTAACACCAAAAGTAGTATGTTTATGCAATTTTATTTCAGTCAAGTGTTTATTGAACAGAAATTTTGTAACTACAAGTTCTCAGTAACTTTTGTACAATTGTATGTGTTTAACTGTGCACATGTTCTGTTAGATGGGTATTCTGTCTGGTAGAGAAGTTATTTTGTGCCAATTGTCTTTGTTAGATGGTTTTTTTCTCTGGTGTCTAGAAAGTTTAGCTACTTGAATGAATATAGAAGCAGAGATATTTCTACATTATAATGGCAAATATCCATAAATGTACTCATGTCTAAGTTAATAATGGTGTACATACTTGTTTGATTGTGTTTGCTGTTGTTTGTAGTCATATGATTTATTACAGCAAACTACTGCTTGTTGTATCATGCATTCTTTAAGTAGAATTGATGGCTACATGAAACTGCAAAAATAATTGTCATTTGCATGTAAATGTTATGTAATCTAAATTAGTGTCAAACTGAATTGATGTATTTCATAATTTTTTTGTCATTCAAGCTGGTTGTAAAACCTACACTTGGTTATATAGATGAACAGTTGTTTATCTGCTTCTGTAAAGGCAAGAATTATCTTTGAGTCATTACAGTTACTTTAATTCTTAATTTTAATAATTGATTAATATATTTTAAAGAATAAAATACTAAGAGTAATTTTGAGTAAAGATCTAAGATGATTTTTAAACTAAAATTTTAAATAGAATATCAGATGTTTGATCTTTTATTTACTGCTAGTCATTTTAAAATGTTATTAAAATGCCAACTAGTCACAAAAATATTTTGTCACATTATTTTTGTCAATAATTAGTTAAATCTAAAGAAAGCTAAGATTTTATTCTTTAATTATTTTTAAAATTATATGTGATCTATCTTACACCAAATATAAATTTTGCATTTGTTTTACCCATTAAATCACTTTTTATTTTATATGTATATCCGGATGGAAAGATGATTTGTATTAAGATTATGTTTATAGTAAAATAATGTTGTAGGGGAGAAAACTTGCACTCTATGATTACCCTGAAATAACCACCTAATGAACTGGTTTCAAATGGTTCTGTCTGATAACCTTGAAATGGTTACTAAATGATAACCTTGAAGACTAAATGTGCACTTATATTTTGTTGTCAGATTTTATTTAGTAAGAGTTATCCAAAAGTCAAGTGGATTTACTCACTATGTCTAAACATGAAGTCAAGTAAATTAACTGTTAAATGAAAAAGTTTGCAATTTTTCTCCCTTTTAAGTTGATATTTGCTCATTCCAAGTTGAATGTGTGTGAGTGCATGTCACCAGCCATTTCTTAAGTTCCCCAACTCAAACTCATTAAATGGAATCATAATGTGACACATAGTTTAATGCTTCACTCAACTATACATTTTTCATTAGAAGAACAGTTCTAACAGATTTGTTAGGAGAGTGGTAAAGGATTGTTTAGGGGAGTGGTAAAGGATTGTTTAGGAGAGTGGTAAAGGATTGTTAAGAAGAACGGTTAAGTTTTTTAAAGAGATTTGTAAAAGATTGTTTAGGAGAGTGGTGAAGGATTATTAATACATTTTTCAAAAGAAGAACAGTTCTAACAGATTGTTTACGAGAGTGATAAAGGATTGTTTAGGAGAGTTGTGAACGATTGTTCTAGTGACTTAATTTGCATACATGCACTCACCCCCAATAACTCTGATTTATTCTCTAGATTATGCCAACATCTGTTAACAATACATCTATTAGTACTACTGTTAACAATACATCTATTAGTACTACTGTTAACAATACATCTATTGGTACTTAAACAATACATCTCTTAATAATACATCTATTGATACTTCAACAGTACATCATGTAGTTCTTCTGTTAACAATATATTACTTGGTACATCTGTTAACAATAGATCACTTGGTACATCTGTTAACAATAGATCTATTGATACTTCAACAATACTTCTCTTACCCTTAGTATAAATTAGAATTTAAGACTATTTTAATTTTATAAAGTCAAAAAGGAATAAAAGTTTATATAAAATGTAAGTTAGATCTTTTATCTAACATCCTGATAAATTTTGCAATCAGTATTAAATACAAGCACTACATTCATAGGTTTATACAATACCCACTAGAAAAACAATCTAATTTAAGATAGGTTTTGATTTTAAAAATAAAGGAATCTCTTAAGTCATATTTTTTCTAATGAGTTTTTCTTACTCAAATCCTGAACTATTCTTCACTGTAGCCAATTTTCTATGAATGATTTGTCTATTTCAAGCTGATCATAGTAATAAATGAGTTGGGTTGCTCTCAATGTGTTCATTTTGTATACTGGCCTCCCATGTCTCTCAGCCCTGGATGTAAACTTGTCTTCATGCTTTATAGGATTATCATTTGTTATGTTACATTAAGTTATTGATGTTGCTCTATTATTAGGACTTGTACATTGTCAAGTATATACTTTGTATA